AATTGGCATGGTATTGGCACCAGAATAGACATGTAGACCAATGGTACAGAATAGAAGGACACATAGACAAACCCAGATAAATACAGTTATTTCTTACTAGACAAAGATGCGAAAAACATACATTAGAGAAAAGATGGCCTCTTCAACAAATGGTGCTGGGGAAACTGGAAATTCATACGCAGCAAAATGAAAATAAACCCTTATCTCTCACCATGCACAAAACTCAATTCAACGTGGATCAAGGACCTAGTAATTAGACAAGAGACCCTATGCCCAATAGAGGAAAAAGTAGGCCCAAATCTTCATCATGCAGGATTAGGCCCCGACTTCCTTAACAGGACTCCTAAAGTGTAAGAAATAAAATCAAGAATCAATAAGTGGGATGGAGTCAAACTAAAAAACTTCTTCTCAGCAAAAGAAACAATCAATGAGTGAAGAGATAGCCTACATTTTGGGAGCAAATTTTTGCCACACACATGTTAGATAGAACACTAATCTTAAGGATATATAAAGAACTCAAAAAACTTAACACCAAAAAAACAAACAACCCAATCAATAAATGGGCTAAGGAGCTGAACAGACACTTCTCAGAGGAAGATATACAGTCGATCAACAAATATATGAAAAAATGTTCAACACCTATAGTAATTAGAGAAATGCAAATCAAAAATACTATAAGATTTCATCTCACACCCGTCAGAATGGCAGTTATGAACAATAAGTGATGGCGAGGATGTGAGGGGGAAAAGGCACACTCATACATTGCTGATGGGACTGCAAATTGGTGCAACCAATCTGGAAAGCATGTATGGAGGGAGATTCCTTTGAAAACTTGGAAAACCACCATTTGACTCAGGTATCGCACTCCTCGGTCTATATCCAAAGGACTTAAAATCAATATATTATAGTAACACAACCAGATCAATGTTTATAGCAGCTCAATTCACAATAGCTAAACTATGGAACCAACCTAGATGCCCTACAATAGATGAATGGATAAAGAAACTTGGTATATATAACCAATGGAATATTACTCAGCATTAAAATAGAATAAAATTATGGCATTTTCAGGTAAATGGATGGAGTTGGAGAATATCATGCTAAGTGAAGTAAGCCAATCCCAAAAAACCAAAGGCCAAATATTCTGATAAGTGGATACTGATCCATAATGGAGGGGTGGGGGAATGGGGAAAATGGAGGAACTTTGGGCAAAGGGAGAGAGGGTGGGGAGGAAGTATGGGGGCAGGAAAGATGGTTGAATGAGATGGACATTATTACCCTAGGTACATGTATGACTGCACATATGGTGTGATGCTACATCATGTACAACCAGAGAAATGAAAAGTTGTGCTGCAATTGTGTACAATGAATCAAAATTCATTCTGCTGTCATATATACATAATTATAATTAATTAATTAAATTTTTAAAAGAAATAAAATATTTTTGTATACTTACAAAAGATTATCACTTGAGGAAGTAGAATTCTTGCATCAAAGTGTGTGGACATTTAAAGTTTTACTAGTGTAACCAAATTGATCTCCAGCGTGGCTATATAGGTTCAGCACTGGCAATAATAATTTTTTTTAATATTTGCCAATCTGGTGGGTCAAAATATCCTCACTCTTCTTGCTAAGGATTGCTTTGGCTATAAGCAAGATTTTGATTTGCATTTCTTAAATTATATGTAAGGCAAAATGACTTTTTGTTTGCTTATAGTATACTTGTACCTGGTTTTCTGTGAATTGCCTACTTATCTTTCTTGGCCTGTCTATAATTTGAGCATTCTATCTTTTTTGGCAAATGTATATTAAGTTCCTATTATGTGAACACTGTGCTGAGCCTTAGAACTGTAACAATGAATAAACACCACAGTCTTTGCCCTTTTGAAGCTTACAATGTCCTGGGAAATAAACATTAATCAAATAGTTATGCGGATACATTTATATGCAAACTGAGTTAAAGACCTTGAAGGAAGCCTCTTGCATCTCATAGAGCATACCAGGGAAGATGCAGGCTGGACAGGATGGGAAAAAACCTCCCCAGGACAGCCAATATCTAAGGCCCCAGGACAGCCAATATCTAAGGAATGAACAGGATTTGGAGTTGGCGCAGAATTTTCAGAAAAAATGAGACAGCATTGTGGAGAAAACATGATGTCTTTGATGAGCTGATACAGTAGAACAGAGCACAGAGAGACAGAGGAGCCTGGGGCTACATCAGTTAGGTATATAAAATAACTGGGCTTGCTTTATTTTTACCCCTGAGATTTAATGAAAGTCATTCAAGGAGCTTAAGCCATAGTTGGTCATCCAATCTGAATTCTGAAAAGAATTTAAAAATCTTATCTGGCTGAGAAGAAGAAAATAGGAAGAACAATTAGAAGGTTCTTGAATGAGTCTGAATAAGATGTAATAGTATTTTTGCCCTGAATTATAGAAGTGGACATGAAGAGAAGTAGATGGTTCAAGCAATATGGAGGAGATTAAATAAAATCTTTAAGATGGATTAGATACAAAAGGTTAAAAAGAGAGACTGGGCCTATGATATTTCCTGAGTTTCTGGTTAGATGGATGATGATACATTTCCTGGGATCAGAAACTGAAAGGTCCAGCTGGGTTCAGCCTTAAGACACCCAAATGAAGCTGTCAAGAAGGCAATTAGATGTAAAAGTCTGGGGCAAAGAGGCAAAGTCTGGGAACTAAATTTGGAAGTCACTGGCATATACTAATTAAAGCCGTGGCATAAATGAAATTGCTCAGAAAAGGAATTCAGTGCCCATGACAAGTCTACTCTTAATCCTAAGGAACTCTAATACTTAGTGGCTACATAGAGACACAATGAAACAGAAAACAGGAGACTCAGAGCAGGAGGAAAGCAGGCTGAGTGCAGGTCCCAGAATCCAATGGGAGAGTGTTGCAGTCGAATGAAGCAGAGCTCGAGGCCGCTCCTCCATCTAGGAAGATGAGACCCCAAAAATAACCATTGGGTTTAGCAGCATAGAGGCCTTGGTGACATTCATTTGAATTTTTTCAGTGAAATAATGGGGGCATTATTTTTAATTGTTTTAATTTAAAAAAAAAAAACAGTTTCAAACCTGTCCCTCCTCCTCTTCACCCCTGACTCTTCTTTGCCACTCAAAAAGCTGAATTGGTTTTATAACACAGTATTCTGAGCTCCCAGATTGGAGATAGTTGGGGAATTAGTGGGAAGTGTAGAAATGGCAGCACTGTCTGGACCACTCTCAAGAAATGTGGTTCTTTAAAAAAAAAAAGTTTTAATTAAAAAAAAAAGTTTCAAACTTGTCCTTCCTTGTCTTCACCCCTGACTCTTCTTTGCCACTCAGTAAGCTGAATTGATTTTATAACACAGTATTCTGAGCTCCCTACCTGTGCTCTCCCAGTATCCACGGCAACCAGCCAGCTAAGGGTGGCATGTGCAGGGGAAGATACCTGAGTTTGAAGACCCTTCTGCACCCTCATGAAGCTTCTGCCGGTGCAGGTCTGGTCTCTGGGAAGACCCATCATAGAAATGCTACTGAAAGTGGATTTAACAAAGAAAGAATCCTTATATTTGTGATACCTACTGAAAGATTTAAGGATAAATAAGACCTGGAATTTGCAAAGTGAAACAAGATAAGCTATGAGTTGGTCATTGTCGAAGCTTGTTGATGCATATGTAAGGATTTATTGTACTATTCTCTCTGCTTTTATGAACAAAATTTTTCATACTAAATTATAAAAAGTTAAATTAAGTATTCTGTAAAATGAAGGTACAAGGAGCCAGTGGCCATCCTGGGGCCACTATGTATATGGCTTTTAAAACTGGAACATCTTGGGGCTGGGGTTGTGGCTCAGTGGCAGAGCACTTGCCTAGCATGTGTGAGGCACTGGGTTCAATCCTCAGCATCACATTAAAAAGATAAATAAAATAAAGGCATTCTGTCCAACTATTTAAAAAAACAACTATTAGGGGCTGGGGATATGGCTCAAGTAGTAGCGTGCTCGCCTGGTATGTGTGAGGCACTGGGTTCAATTCTTAGCACCACATAAAAATAAAATAAAGATATTGTGTCCACCTAAAGCTAAAAAATAAATATTTTTTTAAAAAACAACTATTTAAAAAAATTAAAAATGGGTACATCTCTCAGCCCAATCCACCATTGGCTTGCTAGTCTCATCGTGTCAGATGTATCTGAGGAAATTCTTTCTTCACCACTGATCTAAACACCTTGTTCCTTGCCCCTTTTCTCCTTTATCACCTGCTTCCTGAGTGTGGATTTCAAAGCACAGATCTGTCACTCTGGTCCTGGTGAACTTTAACAAGTCCCCTCACATCTCTGAACCCATATCTGAAAAAATGAGAATAAGTCTGCTTAGCAATGTTATAAAACTTGCTGGTGTACAAAATATTTGCTGTGTCAGAGTTTTAGAAATATAATTAATTGCATTGTGATTATTTCTTCAACTCTACAGTTCTGTGTCCATTCCTCTTGGGTCTATGTAGTGGACTAGAAATTACATTGCTAAGCAGCAATGTGTAAAACTTCCCAATTCTCAAATTGAGGTTAAGAAAGAAAGAAAGAAAGAGAGAGAGAAAGAAAGAAAGAAAGAGACTACATAAGCCACATCAAGCCCATCTACTGGCTAAAATCAGCGACTGGGTGGCCCACATGCAACCTCTCACCTAGATAATGGCATATAATACAACTTAGTTGCCCTTCTCCCTCTTTTTGTTTCCCACCCCTAACTTTCTTCTTTCCTTCTCCCTTTCTGCATCCTTTTCTCCTAACCACTCCCATCCTTCGGGCCTATACTAAGTCCAAGTGGTAGAGGGAAATGGAGCTGGTTAAAGACGGCGCCTGGTCCTGGTCAGGTGTGTGGAAGAACGCGGCACAGAGAGGACCATGACAAAACCCTGGACGGAGGAATAGGCCAGCAGCTGGGGAGGTGAGTTCAGTTTCTGGAGGACTGATCTGAAGGACTCTCGTTTTTCTCCACAGCCTTACGAAGTCGTTCTGGCCGCTCCATCATCAATGGGAACTGGGCGATTGACCGTCCTGGAAAATATGAGGGCGGAGGGACCATGTTCACCTACAAGCGTCCCAATGAGATCTCGAGCACTGCTGGCGAGTCCTTTTTGGCCGAAGGTCCCACGAACGAAATCTTGGATGTCTATGTGAGTATAGATGGTTCTGGGCTCTTCTCTAGATGTTGTATCTGGTTGCTTCCAAAGAACACACTTAGGGCAAATAATCAATAAATCATTCCTCGGGCTCAATAAAATCATTTGCGTGGAGCTGGTTGGAGGTACCCCTTCAACGCTTGGCACTCATCGCTGTCATTTACCCCTGAATGTACCCCGCTCATAGAAACTTTAAACTCTACCAGATGCTTGGTACTCTCAGAGTTTATTGACCCAGTAAAACCAATTTTACTTGTTGAACCAAATCAGAGGCAAACATATCCTTTATTTCATGAGCACTGGATCTCCTCCAGGCACTTCCCTCCTAATGCTAATTTGGCATGTTTTCTTTTCACGGCAAAAGAAAGCAAATGTCAAATGCAAGACCACTCCCAGCTCCCAGCCCTCTTCAAACTCTGCTAAAGCAAATGAAGAATCCAGCTCTCCAGACCCCTCCAGATGAAACGATAAAGCTTAGAGCAACAGTCTTGAGGTTTACTAGAAGTTCCCCGCTTCACAAAGGAGAACTGTGATCTACTTTATTTAAAACTAGAATATCAAGTTGCCAAACAGTTTTAAAAGTCCCTGTTTTTTTAAAAGAAACAACTAGAATCCAGTCTCCTGAAAAGATCAGGAAATAAAGGGTGACCAGAAATAAAAGCTTAAAATTATGTTTGGATAAAAAGAATGAGCTCACCAAAAAAAAAAAAAAAAGAATGAGCTCACCAATAAATATACATACTCTGTCCCCAAAGCCTTGCTGGTCTACATAATATTTGCTGTGTCAGAGTTTTAGAAATATAATTAATTGCATTGTGATTATTTCTTCAACTCTACAGTTCTGTGTCCATTCCTCTTGGGTCTATGTAATGGACTAGAAATTACAAAGAAAGCCTTGTTATAGTCAATCTGGGTGGTTTTTTTTTTTTTTAAGCTATCCACTTGGTGGGTTCACTCTGGTTAAATTTGAAACGGTATCAGAGACTGGGGTTGTGAAAGGCCTGCTGTGGGTGGTCTTGGAAAGGTGGCCAACAATAATTTCATAAACAGGACAAGGCTTGGACTGGCAGAAGAGGCACAAGAGGAATGGGGGCAGTAACAGAGTGTGTAGGTGACGGGGATAGGGTAGAGAGCAGGAACCCACAGTCACACAACTGTGTCCTTCAGGGCTCTGTGCTCACTACCACATTCCCACACAGCACCCATGAGTTGGGATGGGTGCGTGGTGTAGGAAACCCAGTGCTTTTCATGTCTGCCTACCTCTGGGTGACTGATGGGATGGAGACTCACTCCACAAGGAGGCAGGGGATGAGAGATGATGGCATGATGACATAAACAGGAAGGACAGGCACAGGACCCCCCACCCCCTCACACTCCCCACACCCGTTCTGGAGCCAGTCAGCAGTACCATAGGAACACAGGACCTAAGAAACCAACTGTGACTCTCACCTCCTCTTTTCTCCAGATGAAGAAATCAAAAACTGTTGGATTCAGAGACTTGCTCTAGATCACAGATGGCCAGATAGACAGCCACTTCATCAAACATGGCAGCGTCTCCTTGCTTGGCTCAAATACTGTAAATCCTCATTCTGTTGCTTCATTGAGCCCAAGCCCTGCCTCCCCTGGTGACAGCAACAGGCATTAGGACTTTGTGTTTACTCCACAGGCCCTGCTCACAGATGTTGTGTTTCCATCCCAGATACTCTTCCAGGGCTGACTTCCAGTAGCTTCCTGCTTGCTGTCCTGTCTCTTTGTCACTGGTTCCTGAAAGAATATGACCCAAGAAGACTTACTTCCCTTATGAACCATTTTTCTGATCCCATCTCTTTGTGATTCTAGAACTTTCCATAAATGAAAAAGGGGTGGGGTGCAGAAAGCCAACAAGGGATAGATTGAGCTAGTCTCTCTGACCAAGTAGAGGACTTTAAAGAAACTTAATGCTCCAGGCCTGCTCTACCAAGGAGGTTTCATCCTTGTTTGTATGTCTCACCACCTAGTGTCCAAACAGGTTCTCCTGCAGCGGAGACGTATTTATCTATGTGGAACATATAGGGAGCACGGAGCAAATGCAAAGCCATGGCCTAGAATGGCTGGCAGCCAACAGAAAGGTTCTGCTTCCTATGTGGTATTTATAAAATCTTGACTCTCAGCCTAGTTTGCTTCTGATCTGCTCAAGAATCAAGTTCTTCATTCTTCAAATGATGAGAAGCCCTCTGGAAATAGCTTGGTTTCATCTGCCACAGGGTCACTAACATTACTAGATGTGAATGAACCTTCTCATGTGGCAATAGTACCACTCGTACTATTGTAACCCAGGTCAGCAGGAAAGGGGACGCACATGTGTGCCACAGCAGTGACACTGACTTTTCTGCCATCAGATGATACACCAGCAACCCAACCCAGGAGTCCACTATGAGTATGTCATCATGGGAACCAACGCCATCAGCCCACAGGTGCCACCTCACAGGAGACCAGGTAAAATCCCTTGTTTTACCACCAAGCACTGGGACACTTCCTTTTAAAGGCCTCTCCTCTTCTTGCCTCCTCCCTCTGTCTCTTGCTCTCTTTGTCAACACATAGAAAACCATGATCCCACGTTTCAAAGTCAGTGGGCCTTACTATCGCAGCATGATTCACCACTGGTGTAAGCCTTACTGATAAGACCATTTTGTTCACTTGATTCAAAAACAAGGTGAACATCCAGGTCTGCCTTTCTAGTCCAGCATTTTGAGATGTCTCACATTAATTTTCTATGGCAGCTATAGCAAATTACCTCCAACTTAGTGACTCAGGATGAGACAAATTTACTGTATTACAGTTTCAGAGGTCAGAAGTCTGAAAAGGATTTCACTGGGCCAGAGTCAAGGTGTCAGCAGGGCCAGGGCCAGACTCACTCTGGATGCTCCAGGGGAGAACCCATTCCCTTGGCTTGTGCAGCCTGAAGAGCCCCTGCCTTCCTTGGTTCCTGGCCCCTTCCTCCACCTCCAAACCAGACAGTAGCACCTTCAGATCTCTCTGACTCTTCCACCATCACATCTCCTCTAAGTCTCATCCTCCTGGCTCTTTCCTTTTCAAGGACCTTTAAGATTAGATAGCCCCCTCCCAGATAATACCAGATAATCTCTCCATCTCAAAATCTTTAATCATATCCTCAAAGTCTCTTTTGCCATATGAAGTAACATATATCACAGGTTCCAAGAATTAGGCCGTGGTCCTGTATGAGGGCAGGGTGGATTACCTGTCTTCCACATGCCATTTCTCTTGGTCCCCTGATGCTCCTGTTAATAACAGTTGACCTATTAAAACAGGATCACAAGGCTCACACCAAATGATCCACCCTGCTGCTTCCTAGGGATGCTGCTGGTAGACAGGATGGTGGTGCTGGGTATGGTGCTGCTCTCTGCAGACATGGCCCCACCAGGTGATGAGTGAGCCCACCACCCAGAAGGAGACTGGAAATGCCAAAGACTGATCTCTCACATGCGCTGGGTCCAGGCTATGAGGTCTCCCAATAGAGCTCAGAGGCAGCTGCTATCATTAGCCTCAATTTAAGAGCAAAGGAATGGAAGCTTCAGGAGACTGAGTTATTTGTCCAGGTTCCATGCCTGAGCAGTGACCTCAGATTGGCCTGTGTGACCATCCTGTGCTATTATCCTGCCTGAAGGTTACCTGGTCCAGTACCTGTCCTAGGAAGAGAAGGAACAGGTGCCAGACCTGGCCCATCCATCCTTCTGTGGGCTACAGTTTGGAAAACTAAGCTCTCTGATTGCCACAGTCTAGGGAGGAGCCACCTGGCTGCCTAGAGAGGGTATGTGGTGGGTCAGCACATGGGACAGGGGTGTTGTCCAAACCTCAAGTCAGCACAACACCCACACAAAATTTGATGCTATTTCCAGGAGCAAAACACAGTCTGAGAAATCAAGCACAGATGGCAAAATACTGGGATTTCTGAGATCTGTTGCTGATTTTTAGGGACAGTTGGATAGACTGAAGTCAAATAGGATCATGATGATTGATAACAGGCCTAATGGACCTCAGCAAATGGACAGTAGGGGATTCTGAGATGAGCTTCTTAGAGCAGAGCAGGCCAGAAGGGAGCAGTTGTAAAAGGTGACAGAGGAAAGAGGACAAATGGACCAGGCTCCATCCTCCATGTCAACAATCAGGAGGCCAGAGTCTAAATCCAGCTCTGCCACTTTCTTTCTATATACCCTCAGGCAAGTCGGTAACTTCTCTGAACAAACTCTCAGTCTAACTAATAAAGGGAAAAAGAAAAACTGAATTCAAAAGTAGTCTTTCTGGAGATATGAGTGGAGATTGAATGAATTCATTTTTCTTTCAAAAAAGATACTAAAAAGATTTTTAAATGTTTTTTTGTCTAGTAACAATCTACAGAGTATCATTTATATCCATATGTCTTGATCTTCATTCTGTTTGCCTAATCTGCACATAAATTTTTAAACCACAAAGTGGTTTGTTTAAAACCAACAAAGTAAAAAAGCACTGGTAAAGGGGTGGAGAAAGCCCTATATTTTTAACTGTGCTTTATAGTAACTCTAGAATATGCCTTCTTATTTTATACTAAAATGATACATGCTTGAACAATATTCAATCAAAATGGAAATATATAAAGTCAAAACAGCTCCCATGTAATTACCAAAACTTGGGAGCAACCAAGATGTCCTTCAATAGGTGAATATATAAACAGTGGCACATCCAATAGTGGAATAGCACTCCGTGGTGAAAATAAATCAGGTTCCAAGCCACCAAGAGACATGGAGAACCAGGTACAATGGCATACACCTATAATCCTAGTGACTCAGAAGGCTGAGATAGGAAGATTGCAAATTTGAGGCCAGCCTCAGCAACTTAGTGAGAAACTGTGTTTAAAAATTTAAAAACTGAGGGACTGGGGATGTATCTCAGTGGTAAAGCACCCCCAGAGTTCAATCCCCAGTACAAAAAAAAAAGAAAGAAAACACAAGAGATACGGCAGAACCTAAAATACATATTACTAAGTGAATCTGAAAAGGCTATATGCTTACTGATTCCAATTCTATGACATTCTAGAAAAGTCAGAATTAAGGAAAAAATTTAAAATATCTGGTTGCCAGGGGTAGGAGGAGAGAAGAATGACCAGAAGAGCCGAGGATTTCAGGGCAGTGAACCTATCCTGTATGACACTATAATGGCCCATGCATGTCATTATGCTTTTGTCCAAAACCATAGATAGATGTAATATGCCATCAGGATGTTCATAGTGAAAGAGGCTATGCACATGTGGGGACAGTGGACATATGGAATTCTGCATCCTCTGCTCAGTTTTGCTTTGAACCTTAAACCACTCTAAAAACTAAAATTATTAAAAAAAAAAAAAAAGCAACAGCCTCCATCCCCATCCCCTTCCCAGAGGGAATCTCTCAGAACAATTTGAAGGGACTCTGCCTCACCCCTTTATATGCATACACAAACATGTTTGCAGACAATCTGAATCTTTGTCTACAATCTCAAATGTACAAGGAATATCACAGAATGTTATTTTCCATCACTCAATTTAAATCCAATGTTAACCTTCTTTGAAACTGGTAGAAAATTCAGTATGTCAGTATGGGCGCTCTCTCGCTCGCTTGCTCTCTCTCTCTCTCTCTCTCTCTCTCTAGATATGAGGAAAGATCTCAGAATCTCAGAAGACCCAGAGCACTGGCTGGACCCTCTGAAGGTCTATTTATGCCAATTCCATTGAAAACTGTAGGTTGAGGGCAGCCTCATGGGAACTGTAGGTTGGGGCTCTGCCACTTCCAGCCTCTGTTGGGGACAAGGATGCCCTTGAGGCTGACAGCCAGTCCCCCAACCCTACTCCAGATGTGGCCTCCTCCTGGGTTACTCTTCCTGATGCATGGAAGGGTCCATGGTGCTCAGGAAACCCAAGACCTCAGGTTCCTACTTTTCCCACATTCGAAAAAGCCCCCTCCCTGTTCCCTCCCTCCCTCCTCTTCTCCTCCTCCTCCTCCTCCTCCTCCTCCTCCTCGTCATCATCATCATCATCATCCTTAACTGACAGAACTTCCACTTTGCCCTCCCTGAGAGCCCAGCCTTGTACTGTGCTAAAGGAGAACCATCAATTTCAAGCAGCTTTATTTTCTCTCCTGCAAAAAACCAAAGCAAAAAAAAAAAAAAAATCTAAGGGCATGGCTCCCCTTTCAGACTAGGGGAGGAAGGGGGGAGACAAAGAAAGGCCACCAAACACAAATTAAGATCCCAAAAGTGACCTGCCATATGTGTGTGTGTGTGTGTGTGTGTGTATACAAACTGAATTCTATGCCTTTTTTGTTCATCAAACAACATATCACAGACAATATCTCCATGTCAGAACACGTATGTGCTGCATTCTTTTAAAAAGAAAATTCACATATTATTCCATTTCACAGTTGCAGCATAATATATTTTTATCACTATTCTCCATGAACATTGAAGTCTGTTCTACTGTTTTGCTATTTCAAATAATAACCATATTAATAATCATACTTGTATGTTCAGCTTTACATCAAAGAATGAGAATCTTTGTCTGACAAAGACTTTAGGAGCTGAATCACTAGGTCAAAGGGTATATGTGAATTTAAATTTTGGATAGCTAGAGCCAAATCACCCTCTAAAAATTGGCATCTATTTGCAGGCTCATAGACAATGAATTTAAGTATTTTCATGCACCTTCAGCCAGGGATTTGGGACTCTGGGGTTGATCAGAAACTCCGAGTTTCTGATCCTTATCATTAGGTAAATGGAGCTATTGATGTTTTTCTTGTTTTCAGGTGTAGTTCTTTCGTTAGGAGTGAAGTGAACATTTTTGTATGGCTTTTGGCTGTTTGCATGTCTTTTGATGGAAACTGCCTCTCCATGGCTCTTGTGTACTTTTCCTATTGGGATGTTCATCTTTTTTCTTATTGATTTTTAATTCGTATTTTGAATATTAAGAAAGATAGCATCTGCTTATTTTAAATATCCTATACTTAAGTGTTGCAGATTAGAAATGATCTCATGCCACGTAATTTCTAACGTTGAAGCAATTTCCTCTTTCAACTCAGTGTCCAAAATGATCTTCCTTCTCTGTGTGTGCACTGGCCTCTCCTAGGCGAACCGCTCAATGGCCAGCTGGATGAAGAAGGTAGAAGCCAGGAAGATGGAGAAGAGAAAGAGAAGAACGGGGAGAAGGAAGACTTGCACGGGGAGGCGTCTGAAATCTTCACCTCAGAATCGGTGCAGACCTTCCCGATCAGGCATCCAGATAGATTTTCTTCCCATCGACCAGACAACTTGGTACCACCAGTGCCACAGCCCCCACGAAGAAGCCGGGATCACAACTGGAAGCAGCTGGGGACAACAGAGTGCTCAACAACCTGTGGGAAAGGTGAGCCTGCCTGTGGGACAGGGTGTCCCTGCAGAACCCAAACAAGGAAGTATGTCTCAGGATGTGTGGCAAATCCTCACTTCCGTGACCTACCTGTGAAATGGTTCATTGGCACAGCAGGCAGGGTTAGAGGTCCCCAAGATGACCCTTGGGCTCGGTGATCTACTACAAGGACTTACAAGATTCAGAAAGGCTGTTGTGCTCCTGTTTACACTTTATAACAATAAAAGGATACAGTTTAGAATCAGCAAAGAGAAACAGCATATGGACACAGTCCCGGAGAAACCAAGGGCCAGTTTCCAGGTGTCCCCTCCTCGAGGATACCTGATAGAGCCACACAGGGATACCCTTTATTTTTCCCACAGTGATGTGTGACAACACACTCTGAGTACTGCTGACCAGAGATGCTCACCCAAGTTTCAGTGTCCAGGGCTTTTATTGGGCATTAGTCACATAGGCATGTAACTCCCACATGGTTGGCATTAGCTACACAACCTTTAGTACCCCCAAGGTCAAACCAATATAGTGTACCAAGGCTTGAGGCATAAAAAAACAGACAGTCGCTGTAAATCACATTGTCGGCACAAATTATCCTGACAAATCCATAGACATGGCCCAAGATCTCAGGCATAGAAAAACTCTCACCAGGCAGAATTTTCCAAGGACTCTAAGGTCATCTCCCAGTAGCTGATTCAGGGCCAGCCGTGAGGACAGACCTTTCTATGCAATGTGCAGGGTTTGAGCAACCCAGGCTGCTGAGTTAAGCCTTTTCTGGGCATATATATATATATATATATATATATATATATATATATATATATATTCACAGTAATTACAGAATGCACATATCAGGTCTAAAATTGATATACAAGTCAAGGTTGTAGAAGATTTTGCACAAATGCCATTTTAAACTCATTCTCAAATCTAATGATTTTAGGAGAGTAAAACATACTTTGAGGGCTTGAGGTGTTAATTAGCTGGATTTTATACTCATGGTTTCCTTTCCATACTCTCCCAGTAAAAATCTTAATTCCAGATTCATCCATTAGCCTAACTTAGTCAGATAGGACCTCCAAGGGGCAAACCTGTACCCAGCAAAGTCGGGTTTATTAACTTATTGCAAGAAGGGAGACTAGAAACCTGAAGAAGCATGGCCTGTCTCTCCAAACAAAAGGAAGTTATAGGATTTGGGAGATGGATGGAGTTTTGGTGTCATTTCAATAAAGCAGAGTTTTGACAGGCTCAAAGCATGACTGTGTCAAGGGGCCAACATGAGGCCTGAACATGAACCCAGCATCCCATTTCCTTGGAAGCTCCAAAGTTAGGATAGGTGTGGAACATGATATCCAAAAACTCCTTATGAGACATTGTCCCCTTGATAGGAAATGAACTGTGCTTCTGCTTCAAGGTAACTTTGATCCTCGTTACAAGAATACATCTATAAGCTGTGTAGTTATCATTTCCTTCAGATAGATAATAATAGCCTCTCATTTGTACTAAAATTCTATTGTTGTCCCTGAAATGGCTGTTGTCTGAAGGGAGGTTATTATAGAAACAAAAAGGCTGTGTCCCCCCAGGATTTCCTACAACCTGTGTCACTATGTGATACACCCAACATATTGTTTTGGGATTTTTTTTTCTTTTCTTTTCTTCAAGAGACTTGACTCTAAGAGTGTGAAATTTGGAAATCTTGACATAATTCGAACATAGAAAAATCTCTCACAATTGCTTCTAAAGCTTTGACTTAGTGGCTTTGAGAATAAAATTTAAGTCTTGGGTTCTTCTGGGAGCTAGAGCTCTTCCTGCCCAGAATCTCTGAAATTCCATAAAGACTTGGTAACTAGAGTATTAATTTACAAGGTTTTATTCCAATTTTATTGTGCTCATGCTTGATACATGTGCAAAGAATGTGGACTGGCAATTCGTTGAACCCGACTTCTTCTGTAAGCTTTATGAGGGAAAATCACATTTATGAGGGAAAATGCCTCTAGAATGTGTCTTGAGAGAGGTAGAAAGCTAGGAGTAATTCTGCATTAAGGCCAAAATCATTTTAATGAGACTCTGGCCATGATATTTATAGAGATAAGTTGTATGTAATGTAATTAACATAGGAACCCAAGATCAAAATGTATTATTTCCAAAATATTCTGCCATCTGTATAGTGGTGTGATGCCTGTGAAAAGGAACCAGATACACTCAGAACTAGGTGAAAATGAGAGAAAGTCATTAAAAGGATGAAAATTATCATCATTTGGGGTTTGGGGGAGGGTTGTGGGATTTTTTTTGTTTTGTTTTTTGATACCGGGGATTGAACTCAGGGTTACTTGACCACTGAGCCACATCCCCAGCCCTATTTTGTATTTTATTTAGAGACAGGGTCTCACTGAGTTGCTTAGCACCTCACCATTGCTGAGGTTGGCTTTGAACTCACAATTCTCCTGTCTCAGCCTCCCGAGCCACTGGGATTACAGGGGTGCACCACTGGGTCCAGCTCATCATGTGGTAACATATCAAGGGTGGCATAGATAGAAGTTTCTCTTCCACCCCACCCAGCCATCATAAGGCATTGCATTTTTGGACATAATGAGATAAGAATAAAGTATGTACCCTTGGCCAACACATTCTCCATACTCTATGTGTCCAGCAGTAACTGGATGGATGCTGATCACTCGTCTAGGTAGCCATTCAGCGGGCCTTTCTCTATTCTATACTTGACATGATGGAGAGACCTAATATCCAAAGTTTCCAGTTATTTTGGCCCCTAACCTACCCTGGATGTGTGATCCACACTGAGGTAAAAACTCTCCCTCTTATCCTCTGGTAGCGAACCAGCAAACTCCAATTCCTACTCCAAGACCTACCTACCTCAGATGCCACCTCCTCTGTGAAGCTTTCCTGATTCTGCAAGATGCAAATAGGCACTTCTTCATCTGGGACTCCCAGCAGTTCGACACATCTCTGTCCCCACCCTGCCTGGCTGGGCTGGCTCCATGAGTATGCAGTTTGTAGCCTCTGCACCTGGTACCGTAGCACAGCAGCCAATCTCAAATGTGTCTAGGATAAGTGAATAGATCATTATATTTCAAATGTGGGCTGTATGAGCTATTAGAAAAGATACAAGAACAGTTTTTATATCTTTATTATATTCTAGACACACACTTCTATTCCTGCCTTTACCCATGTGCTATCAGTAACATAAAAAACGTGGATTCATATATTCAAAAATTATCTGGGGCTGGGGATATAGCTCAGTTGGTAGAGAGTTTGCCTTGCATGCACAAAGCCCTGGGTTCAATCCCCAGCACCAAACACACACACAAAAAAAGAATAGTCTTTGTCTCTATGTTTCCATATGACTCTGTGTAATCTTTAAGGTAGCATTCTCCTTGACATTGTGGATTCACACTGTCTTCTAGATTGTGAGATCTGGAATTTGACATCCATACCCATTTTAAATATTTAGGCTGTACACACCCACTTGCACATGTTCACACCCACACTTGGCATCTGCCACTCATGAGTATCTGAGGTGACATTCCTACCCTCTTCTTTTCCCTGATAAACACTACTGGTTTGGAAGCCAAAGAGATAATGCAGAGGTACATTGGGAATGAACCAAAAATGGGGGTGTTTCTTTCCCTACCCTTCCCTTTTCTTATAGTCCTAGCTCTCTTTTTCTTTCATGTGACAAATGCCAGCAGCCCATGGGTGCCTCTCCCTGCTCCCTTTAAAGTGATGTCACCAGATGTGCAAGGCCAGGGAAACAATGTGGATGCATAGAACAGTCATCAGCAGAATTATCAAGTGTGTTGTGACCAAGAAATTCTATGAGCGCCACCACTGTCCAACCCTTTTCTGCACAACCCAAATCCATACCTCTTGCGATCTCATCATCTGTGCCTTATAAACCCTCTCCCACACTCTTGCCCATCCTCCCTGGAGGAGCCAGCCACACATGTCTGTGTCTCCCACATTTACATTTTCCTTTTTGTAAATGCTTCAGCAGCAGCATGCCAATCATGGTATTAGCCTTTTAGGGTGGTAGCCAAGAGTAGCCCATATTCAACTACCCGGACCTCTGTCAAAGTCCTGGCATGGCTCAGTTGATTCCTGCAGGTGCTAGAGTTATTAACCTCTTACTTGATCCATCTTACATCCATCTCTCCATAATATCTCACTGACCTCCACCCCATCCCTTGAATTCACTAACCCCATTAATTATAAACTAATAACCTGAGGTACAGTTCCCAATTCTGACATAACTCACTTCTATTTTGATCAGCATTTCCACATACCAGCCAGACCAACCAATCCCACATTTGTTCTTCTGCCCGAAGTCTAGCCAGCACCTGCCCTCAAACCCTGTCCTTGCTTACGGGCAATGATAGGAATCATTGGATTGTAATCTTGGACAATGTGAGGTGGTCAGGTGCCCTTCTGAGTGACAATCTCCCTTTCTGTGGATGTAAAAATTGAACTAAAGAAAGAAACCATTGCAGTTGCTGGAGTCAAGAATTGTAGGTCCAGTATTTCCTCACCATTAGAGAAACAAAGAGCCTCTGATTTCATTTCTTTGGTTCATTTCCATGGAGCTGGACCATGGACAATGGACAATGCACATAAATGCAATAAAATTGTGGGGGAAGGCAAGCAGTGGCCACCTGCCAAACGCCCCCAAGCAGGACCCATCCTTCCAAGCAAGAGCATTCCTATGGTATCCTGTATCCTTTTAGCTAAAAATATTAGATTTCCCCCTATGTGAGTGCCAAGTGGTTGGGGTAGTGATTTTTGCTTTCCAGTCCACAAACTTATAAGTGGAAAAGTTAAACCCACATGGTCTAGAGGGAAAGGAATAGGCTAAATAAGATCTTTACTTAAGCCCTTAATAGCTGGGTCCTAAATGGGTGCACTGCAAGCTGGGAGCTAAGTCTTGTTCTTCTTTTTAACTCAGCACAATATGCTTAATGTTTGTTGAATTTAATTAGAAATCTCTTCTGTTTAATGGAAGGAGATACGTAGTTGAGCAAAATTTAATTCCTCAAAAGTTTTTGCTTCCCATTAATTTTACAGTCAGTACTGCTTTTTACTGAGCTAATAATTGGGCCTAATTGGAACGTTATTTTAAATAATGGTCTCAAGTTATAGCTACACTGTAAAATCTTACTACCAGAGTCATTTAAACAAATGATCGCTTCAGATTCAAAACTGTCTTACAAACTGTCAAATTTCTTATGAGAACTACCTATCCTCTGGCTCAATCTGTCATACAAAATCAGTTTGAAGGATATCTGAGACACTTGCATGGCTGATGTCATATCAAGACATGTAAGTCATAGCTCCAGAAAATATAAGTGCCTGGCAACTTAGCAACAGAAATAAGTTGTTTTAGAATAAACTATAATGTTGTTCCCGGCAGGAATTGTGCACCACCCCGGACTGGAGGAGGACAGCTGTTTGTGAAGAAGCATCCTCAGAAGCTTGATTCAGACAGTATTCTCTCTTCTTAAAATTCCACTAGTAGTATCCCAGTGCTGTCAGCAAGTGGCAGCAGAGAGGAAGACAGAACTGAATTGAGAGCTGGAAATTTCACTGATCAAATTCTGGCTTGTTGTTCAAAATAGTTTTATCCTAACTAAGCCAGTGAAACTTGGCTATGTTTCTAAAACAAAACCATGAGACAGTTTTTTTAGCAAAATACCAAAAACAAGTATAATACCTCTGTGTTAGTCAGGTTTTTATCACTGTGACAAATGCCTGAGAAAAACAACTTAAAAGTGGAAAGATTTATTTTTGGCTCATGGTTTCAGAGGTTTCAGTCCACAGTCAACCAGCTCCATTGCTTTGGGCCTGAGGTGAAGTAGGATATCATGGCAGAAGGGCATGGCAGAGGAAAGCTGCTCAGCTCATGACAGCCAGGAAGCTTATGTCAGGGTGTGGGGGGCAGGGGACACACAAAATATAGCCCCCAAGGGCACACCCCCAAGGACCTACTCCTTTCAACTAGGTTTTACCTCCTCCAGTATTCACTACCTCCCAATAATACCATCGAATTATGACTCCATCAGTGGTTTAATCCACCAGTTAGGTTAGAGCCCTCGCTATCCAATCATGTCTCAAACACCCACCTCTAAATATTGCTGCAATTGAGTACCAGACCTTGAACACACAAGGCTTTGGGCATATTCCAGATCCAAACTATCACAACCTTTTATAAATATTTATTCTATAAGCTTCTATAAGCACCTGCTACTTTCCTAGGTCCTGGAGTTGCTGAGATGAATAAGAACTAGTCCTGTCCCTGAGTAGCCCACTGTCTTCATGCGAAGCAGACATACCTGAAACAGAATTACCACTGGATTCGGACATTGTTAGAGTAATATAGAAATATGTTACAAAGGGAGACAGCAGCTATTCTTGAATCTTGAATCTTGAATCTTCTTCCTGCTTTGCTTCAACTTGCCACACATGTGTACCTGGTCTAGAAAGTCAGTTTGTCAAGCAGGTACTTTTATTCCAGATTAACCACCTGGGCAGCCCCTCCCCCAATACAGGTGCATATAAACTACCCAAGCCCAGCCCTTTCTCTCTGAAACATGGCTTCACCCCTCCAGGACACTTTCTCTTGGATGCTTCCAGAGAACCTTAGAAAGTAACTATTTGTGTTCATTCTATAGTCACTCCCAACCTAGTGAGTTCTTTTTTGTTATTTCAAACCATTGTGAAAATTGCTTTTATCTACCTTTGAATATATTCAAACCATGTCCACAAATAGAGTAGAAACTCTGCGAGGCAGGAGCTGTGTGGGACTCTCCTTTGCACGCCCACAGTCACTAACAAAGTCCTGTGAATAAGTGCATATCGACACACTGGTGAAGGAGAGCCTGTGGGGATGGTCCTCCTTTTACTGGCACCTCAAGACCTGTGCACCATCCCGGAGCCCAGCTTCAAGTGTGTGAGGCTGACCTTGGCGCTCTCCTTGTCCTTACAGGATCACAGTACCCTGTTTTCCGCTGTGTGCACAGAAACACTCACGAAGAGGTTCCAGAGAGCTTCTGTGACTCCAGCATGAAGCCAACTCCAGAGGAGGAGCCCTGCAATCTCTTCCCTTGCCCAGCCTTGTAAGAGGCCTCTGTCTAGGTCACCTATTGTGGGGTCACTTCTGGTTGGTGTGCATGAGACCTTAATAGCAGATAAGAATCTAGTTATTAAACTAGTCTAAGTCGGATTTACAAACACCAGACTTGGACTGTGCTTGCTTTGTGGTGTGTTTAGCAAGCCTACCTGTCTTTCTGGAGAAACCTGGGAGCTACTGGCCTTTAGCAAGTGGCACACTGAGCAAAAAAGCCCACCCTTTGGGAAATTGGGGCAACTGGGGTTTAGCCTGGTAAGGAAAACAAATGGAAGCAAAGAATGGGAACCTGGTGCCATCAATGCTGTCAGGGAGCTGAGTACAGAGAGAAAGTACTGAGAGTGGACCTGGAAAATTCAGAAAAACTGTCTCAAGAGAGGTCTTAGACTGGTTAGACACTTCTAAAAGAACCGGGGGAAAGACCCTAAAAGGTCAAAACCTAATTCTCTGAAGTAATAAAAATAATACTCTCATCCAAATGCATAATGAGCATGTGCTGATGTCACATGCAACTAATCACTGAGTTGAGAGGACAGAGGAGGATATGTAAAAGGGATGTGGAGACCTTGCAAAGGAAGGGCTGCTGGAGGGAGGTCTCTTAGTTCTAAACCAGGTTATGTTCCCCAGCGTAATTAAAGTCCCCTTTGGAGTGGTTGGGTTCTGTTTTACCTTGTTTACTAGATAGAAATCCTTTGTACCTTCTCAGTATTCTATAACTTCATATAGAATCTGGGCCCTGGTCACTGGTAAATAGCGTGTCAAACAAAATTTGCTTCCGTTATGAGTCAGATGACCTTAGTCAGACTTGCAACCAATGATCCAGGAGGAGGGTCCCCCAGGGATTCTGATGATTATGAATGGGCTGGGCTCACGCTTCCCTCTGAAGTCTCTCTCTCTCTCTCTCTCCCCCCGGCCCACCCCACCTCTTTTTGGAGCCAGCTGGGACATCGGGGAGTGGTCTGAATGCAGCAAAACCTGTGGCTTGGGCATGCAGCACCGCCAGGTTCTGTGCCGCCAGGTGTACGCCAACCGAAGCCTAACTGTGCAGCCCTACCGCTGCCAGCACCTGGAGAAGCCTGAGACCACCAGCACCTGTCAACTCAAGATCTGCAGCGAGTGGCAGATCCGGACTGACTGGACCTCGGTATGGGGCAGGGCAGCCTGCTGCAGACCCCCATCTCCAGGACCCACCACCACCCTCCCACCTCCTCCCACCAGGACCTGAGACAAGATAACCCTCAGCTCCCCAGGAGGAAACCCATCCCCAGGGTGCTGGTTAGCTGTGTTTGCAGGTCCTGGGATGTACCAAGAGCTCAGTAGAGTTCAGGCTGGTGTGCATCACCCACAGCCAACTTCATGGGTGAGCCCATGGGAGCCCTGTGCCTGTTGACCTCACCTGACCCATGTATCATGGTGGAGTGAGGTAGACAAACTAGCACAGCCAATTCTCCCATTTTATAGATGGAAAAACTGAGAGCCATCAGAATAAAGTAGGCAAGATTTCCTCTAAGAAGGTCTTAAAGAAAGGAGTCGTGAAGTTTTCTAGGACTAAGATCCTCCCCCAGGGGGACCTAGCAACACTGGGGACCTCACCACAGTTATCCATTCAGGACATGGGTGACAGAAGAGTGAGGACACATGCCACTGATGTAAGCTTACTGTGTTTTAGTGCTCAGTGCCCTGTGGAGTGGGACAGAGGACCCGAGATGTGAAGTGTGTGAGCAACATTGGGGATGTGGTCGATGATGAGGAATGCAACATGAAGCTCCGGCCAAATGACATCGAGAACTGTGACATGGGACCCTGTGCAAAGAGCTGGTTCCTCACCGAGTGGAGTGAAAGGGTGAGTGTGTCAGTGGCAGACAGCCTCAGGCCAAGCCACTAAGCTAGTGGGCAGGAGCTGTATGTCACAGGATATCCCCAAACCACGCAAAGACAAATCACCAGCTCAGAGTCCCAAGGCTGATTTCTGACTTTGAAAAAAAAGGACCAGAGATTGATTATTATATGCTCTGTCTCTTCATCTGAGGACTGAAACTTTAAGACTGAGAAGTGGGTGTGAGAAAAAAATGAACTTAACTCTCCTTAGCACTGTGTATGATTAAATAATGAAATACTAATTATAGGGAATAATTACATCACACCTTTTATGTTTTGTGAGTGTCTGGCAAATAACAGACATTCAGCAAAAGGTAGCACCTCCCCTGCTTTTTAATAACTAAAAACATTTTAGACCCTGTCCCTCTCTCCAGTAGCCTGGTTCCCTCAGCCTCCTAAGTGTCAGGTGTCCATGAAAAACTCAAAGGCATATAAAGTTCACTGTGAGTCCAGCAGTGACCTATATTCAAGGAAAACCAGTATTAGACTGAGTTTATCTGTCACAGACAAAAATAGGGTTTATACAAGGAAGAGATTCTGGAGATGGGTGGTGAGGGCCACACAGGAAGTGCACCTAGTGCCACTGAAGGGAGTTTAAAAATGGTCACGATGGCAAGTCTTATGTACAAATATACATAACAATAAAAAATAAGTTTTTATTTTTATTTTTGAAGGAAAAACACTAAGCAAAATTAAAGAGTATACGTTGGGGTGGGGAAAAGGCAAGGGGGAAGGAGATGAGAAGGGTCATTTAATTCTGTCCCTCTCTTCACCACATAATCCACATCAGTGATTTGTTATTCAGAAAGAAAGGACAACCTGTGAATGCAGCCTTGGGCCCACCCTCAGAGATGGTCCTGGAGACTGTCATGCAGAGGTTTGTCATCTGGTGGATTCAGGGCTCCTGGCGGCACACAACTGCTGCCTCTTAGCCCCAGGATGCCCCCAGATAGAGAGCCTTTGGTGTAAACATTGAGCTCTTGGGAGGAGCTAACTGGGCCCTGGGTCTCAGGGGTAGACAGTAAGGGGCCCCAGCTTAGCCACCTGGGAGGCTGCACCCACAGGGAAACACACGGAAAGGCATCCACCAACTCAGACTGCTGAGTCCAGAGGAGCTCATCCCAATTCTGCCTGCATATCGCCCCCTTTCCAAGCCTCCCAACCCAAATATTAACTGGCAGTGCTGTGCTGGGAGGTGTTGGCGGTCGTTTTGGTCAGCTCCCTGCCAGCACGCGGATGCTCTGCAGCCTTCCTACCAAGGTCACTCAGTTTCTTGTCTGATTCCTTGGTCAGAAATTCTCCCCGTGTCCAGACTCGCTCATCTGTTTTCTCATACAGCTCAAGGGTTCGGGAGGTTTCCAAAGAGCTGCCGGCGCCCACTTGTCCTTTACAGAATCTGAGTGACCCTGCTTGCACGGCAGCCTGTGGCCATTTGGAGAGCCCTTCCACTTCTCCAGACTAAAAATTCCTAGTTCCTTCCATTAATCCTTCAGTGATTTCATTTCTGGGTTTCTAGCCACCCCAGAATCTATTTGCATTCATAGTAAACTTGATATATTGTGTAAGAAAATAGATGAGAAGAATGATACTGGGTTTCATTTTCATATGGAGGATTATTTTTGAAGAATGTTCATTTTTTCTAGTCAAAAAGTAATACACTATTATAAAAAATATGAAAAATTCAGAAAACTAGGCCCAAAATCTCTTCACTAAAAGATAATAATTTGAGATTATTTAGCCACACTTTCTAAATTTTTTTTTGCTTCTCAAACATACTCTGCACATAGGGGTTATACTACTTTTAGATATTTTAAGGATATAAGTCATAATGCAGGCATAATTTGATAACCTGCTTTTTTCACTTACATGTTGTAAACATTTCTATAGTATTAAAAGTCTTTAATGCATGGTTTTTAGTAAAAAATAAGCTATTGTATAGCTACTGTAATTGAACCAGTCCCCCATTTCTAAATGTTTGAGTTTTTTTCTAATTTTCTACTATTTTAAATTGGACCTTCAAAAGTATTTTCAGTGAATATTCTTATGTATCCCTCTTTATATGTGCCTTTTCTTATTCCCCTAAAACGTGTCTAGGAAGTAGAATTATTGGACCAAACGTTATGGATGCATAATATGAACTCAATAGATTTTGACAAACTTATCTCCATAAAAATTATTTCAATTTATCATCTCCCCAACAAACTAGGAGCATTTTACTAATCAGTTTACTTTGATGAATTATTATACTTTTTTAATTGTATCTCTCTGTATTTGCCCCACTCTGAAAAAGGCACTGGACTCAGATTGCAATAGATACAGAAATAAAACAACTATGTAGATAGAAAAAAAAACCTGCCGTGGTTCATTCCTCTGTGTGTCTCCCCTATTTATTTAGTGTAGTAAACTTCTACACATAAATTTTCCAAGGATTTCTACATCAGCTATTTCCCCTTCAATAACAACTTCTAAATTTCCCCTTAATGTCAATTTGCTATTTATTTTAACATAAGTATTTGCTGCATCTAGCCTCTATCTTACAATTAAAATAGAGCAAAGAATGGGCCCTTTATTCTTCTATTTAGAGAACTTTTTTGGTTTTTATGGAGATGTTTTAAGACATGTAAGTTTGGAGCTAGGATGTAAGTAAAATAAATTTTGCTTTGTCTACCTCTAGAATATAATCTTATCCCTAAACGTCCATTCTTTCTTTGGAACTTTAGAATAGCTGAGTGGCTGAGTGGTAGGAGGATGCTGTTGGGTTTAAGGACAGCTCGTTGCCTTTGGAATCATCTCTGTGGCCACTGCTTTTTTTCTTCTTCTTCTTCTTTTTTGTACTGGGCATTGAACCCAGAGGTGCTTAACCACTGAGCCACATTCCCAGACCTTTATATTTTTGACTTTGAGACAAGGTCTCACTGAGTTGCTTGGGGCCTTGCTAAATTGCTGAGGCTGGCCTCAACTTGCAATCATCCTCCCTCAGCCTCTCAAATTGCTGAGATTACAGGTGTGCACCACCACAGCTGACTACCACTTACTTCTTATTTGACCTTGAGCAGCTGCTGAGTCTCTGAGCTTTTCTCGGTTTTCTCATCTGTAACATTGCCAGGTGAGCATTAAGGATTAATGCATTGGAAATCATGACCAAGGAGAGGCTGGCACAGTGGGGAGTTTTCTGTAGGCTGCTTCATCCTTCATAGGCTCCATGTCTACACCGGACCTTTGAGGCACCCGTTGGCCTTACAAGAGTCAGTCTCCATGAAGGACTGACCACCTGATGGCAGTATTCCACATTTGAATAGTTGCTTTATATAAAAATCCACCCTGCTAAGCTTCAGTCTAAACTTAGCAATTTTTCATTATTGAGAATAATCATGTATTGAGCACGTCTTGCATACCACACATGACCAAGACACACCCTCTGATTCATTGAGCTCAAAAGGAAAAAAACAGAGCTAGGCACAGTGGTGCACACCTATAATCCTAGCTACCCAGGAGGCTGAGGCAGGAGGATTGCAAGTTTAAGGCTAACTTAGCAAAACCTTGTGTCAAAATAAAATAAAAAGGATTGAGGTTGTAGCTTAGTGGTAGAGCACTTCCTAACACCTAATAAACCCTGAGTTTAATACTTAGTATTGCAAAAAAAAAAAATGAACAATTTTAAAAAAGAGGGACAGACCAGAGAAAACAAATGGATGTGTCTTGGTGCCTTACTTTGAGGATGAGTCTCTGCTGCTGAGAGGGACTCCCCTGCCCCTAATTTCTGCCAGTAGGATTCTTGGACCAGGCCCTGAATAGGCTCTTCAAATTTAAAGTTGTGCTTTTCACTGCCATTGATGTAATAAAGCAAAGCTTCTCTACAGGTCTCCTCAGTGTGTCCTCTCATTCATCCTTAACGGTCTTCTTTTAAATCAAGCCACCTGGGAATATGGAGAAATTTTCCCAGATGCCTGTGCATTCTAGATTTAGAGAGCAGAAAATTGAGTTAGCTAGTCAGATGTAAATTATGTGGGAAGAAATATATTTAGGGTTTTTTAAATATATTTTTATAACTTTATTTATTTATTTATGTGGTGCTGAGGATCGAACCCAGTGCCTCCCATGGCTAGGCAAGTGCTGTACCACTGAGCCACAACCCCCAGCCCCCTCTTTAGGGTTTTAAACACAGAGATCATTGAGATTTGATTTTTGTATTCTTTACAAGAGAGTATAAATACCTTGAATTTTCAAGTTAGGAAGAAGACCAGATCATACATGACTGAAACAAAAATCCCTCCAGTCTAGACTATTCCGATTATTGTAACAAAAAATTTTCTTAACCTAAGGAACTATTGCATTGTGTAAGATTTCTAATAATGATGCAAAAAGAGCAAAAGTCATAAAATGTGTATGTAAATGTAAAGGAGGGAAAACTTATCCTCTACCCTCTTAGATTTTCTGGCTGCAGCCTATGAATTTAACTTACAAAATATTAACAGGAGGAAGATATACAAATTTTATTTGATGTTAGTATATTTGTGGCACAAGGAACTTCATACAAAAGAAGCAAAAACTCCAAAGAAGTGTCTAGACTCAAGGGTTCACATACCACTTTAACAAAGAGCAGTAAATTGTGGAGAAGTAACTAGACAAGGGGAAAGGGTTGAGCTTTGAGTAAGTTCTAAGATAGTGAGAAAGAAGTATAAGGGGGAATGTAATGGAAGTTAAAGATTATTTTACTAAGTTTATGCAGACTCATCTCAGAGCCAACTCCCTATCTCGAGTGATAAAAATGTTCTCTTTTTCCTAGTACTGGGAAGGCACCTTTCTCATTGGAAATTCATGCCCTGCTTTTAGGAAGAAAAGGAAAGAACAGAAAGCCCTTCTTGCTTCTCCTATTTCTCAATTGCCTTCAGCTCAAAAGAATTAGTACACTGAAGCAGCATATTCTGGGTGGCATGCTCTGGCCCTCTGCAAACCCTTTTCTCCAGAAGGGAGTTCATTCAAAAGGAGGCAGGTCCAATTCAGCAGAAGTCATGTAAATGTTTGACTGTTCACCTGAGGTGTGGTTTTATGAAAATAGACGGCAGTATACAAAAAATGGAAATGGACATTTTGATAATGAAATGAGGTTGTGAGGATTTATTTTTCGTTCCTCAAAATAGTGATTACTAAGGGTGAATGGCAAAGGAAATGGAGAGCTGTAGTCAGAGGATGTGAAGTAGCAGATACATAGGATGAAAAAAATCTAGAGCTTTCATGTGCAACAGGAGGACTATAGGTAATAAATTTGTTCATGCGAAATGAGTAGGTTTTGGCTGCTATGGCCATAAAAAGGGGAGTAACTATGTGAGATGGTGGGTATGTTAATTTGCTTCACTATAGTAATCTTTCTATTATCTCTGTGTCCCATAACATTATGTTGTGTACCTTAAATATACACAACAAAATTTTAAGTGGTAATTGGTAGAAACCAAACTTTAACTCTGTCTTTAAAAGCAGACCTAGCTGGGCACACACCTGTAGACCCAGCAACTTCAGAGGCTGACACAAGAGGATTGCAAGTTTAAGGCCAGCCTCAGCAACTTAGTAAGACCCACAGCAACTTAATGAGACCCTGTCTCAAAATAAAAAAAAAATTAATCGGGCTGGGGATGTAGCTCAATGGTAAAGCACCCCTGTGTTCAAGCACCAACACCCAAAAATAAAAATAAAAGAAGACCTAGAAACCTTTAGATGGACTTTGGTCATGCTATAAATGACCACTTACAGGACTGAAAGTGTTAAGAAAATGAGCGAGGGAGGGGACCCAAGTCCGTGTTCATTTATTCAGCTGATATTCATGGATTCATCCATGGACAAGGCAGTGATATGAGAAGGAATTAAGGATGATTCAATAGTCCCTTTTCCTTGCCAAGATTATTTCTATAAAGAAAAAAAATAAAGAAATAGGACACAAGTGACCATAACACAGTAGAAGAAGGCAGACTACAGAGTGCCATAGGATTCTGATGCTAGAAAGAGTGCATTGAATCGATGATCAAGGGAGTTTCCCCAGAGATGATAATATTTGAGCCTAAAGGGGTCTGATGGGTCCTGGGGAAGGGAAGAGCATTCCAGGCAGAGGGAACAGCATGTCCTGTAGTCAGGGAATCGTGACCACCCTGGCTCTGCAGCGTGAAGTGTATGGGATGGAGTGATGAAACATTAGTCTAAAAGAAGGAGCAGACTGGGGACACTTAAAATATGTGACTTGTTTCTGGAACTTTTTATTTAATATTTTCAGACTACAGTTGACTGTTGGTAACCAAAACTGTAGAAAGCAAAACAGTAGATAAGGGGAGGCTACTGTAATGGGGCAGGCTGTGCATGGGAAGTGGTCAGGTGTATCTACAGAAAGAACTTGGTAGGGAAATGAGGTGTTCCTCCCTCATTGGCATCAGTTGGAAGGGGCTTCTGAGCCTGGGGTACCACCTCTCTCACCTGCCCTCCTCCTGTCTCACAGTGCTCAGCCGAGTGTGGGGCTGGAGTGAGGACTCGCTCAGTGGTGTGCATGACCAACCACGTCAGCAGCCTGCCCTTGGAGGGCTGCGGGAACAACCGGCCAGCGGAGGCCACCCCGTGTGACAATGGGCCCTGCACTGGCAAGGTGGAGTGGTTCACTGGGAGCTGGAGTCAGGTGAGTGGCCAGAACTGGGTGTGTCTGTCTGTCCCGTGCAAGAGGCAGCATCCAGAGGGCTTAGGAACCAGGACTTTGTGGCAGGTGTCCCTGCGTTGAATCCCAGCTGTGCAGTGGCTCCCGTGACTCTGGAGAAGCTACTTGGGCTTTTGTGCCTCATGCACCAAAAGTTTTAATTAAGCATCTACTGTGTGCTCATTTCAACACTTAGGCTACATCAGGAAGCAAAACAAACATCCCTGCTCTCAGGGAGCTATGGCCTGGCACGGTTTCCTTATCTATAAAATAATGGCAATGGCCTCGCCTTAGGAGTTATAAACACAGGGAGTTGCAGCTGCTGCTGCTCTGGTATTGTTACTGTTAATTAGGCCAGCTTTGTCTGCACTCAGTGTCAGAGCTGAAAGTTTTACAAGTTGGAGTTGTACATTATAAAGAACGGAGAATATTGAATACTTTTAAAAAAAGTAACTTGATGGATGAATCAATTCTTTCCTCACTGTTCCAACTTTGAAGGTGATCCCCCTGAGAAAACGTAGCAGGTCATTCCCTCTGATTGCCCTGCTGTGATTCCCCTCGGTATCCGAGTTCTTGGACCACTTAGCATTTGGCTCCCAGGGCTGGCTGGTTCTCCAAGGACATTTTGGCTGATGCTCATGATTTACACATTATCAGGACCTCTGGCTCCATATAGAATTTTATTTCTTTTAAGTAGCTTTAAAAACAGACCTTGAAAAAAAAATGGACTGCCTTGTCCTTGTAAATTGATACAAGCCCTTTGGAAAGCAATTTGGCAATAAAAGTCAAGACCCATAAAAATGTTCATTTGCCTTCACCCAGTCACCCTACTCCTGGGGATTTGCTTTAAGGAAATAATTAACAGAAGAAAAAAAGGCTTTTTCAACAGAGATGTTCATGACAGCAGGATGGCTAGGGATATTATGGGATGTCAGACTCAGTAAAATATTGTGTACCAATGACAATGATCATTAAAGGATATAAAAAGTATGTGTGAGATAATAGCAAGTGAAAATACAACAAGAAAATATGTCAACCCGAAATCTCAAAACATAGTTTTTATGTAAACAGCATGGAAAAATGTTTTCCATTTCTCTTTAATATTCTTATAATCCATAAAATTACAGAAAATTTCAGACAAAAAAGAGGACTCAACTACTTCCATTGCCTACTCTGGTGAGTGTCAGAGTCAGATACATTGATAACTTATTCCGGCTCCCCTTCTCACTAGTTTTCTGACTGCAGGTAATTTAACCCCTCTGAGCCTGTTTCCTCATCTGAATATAAGGATAGCACCAACCTCCTCATGCTGTTAACAACAGGTTTTATAAGATGCTACACATATGGGGAGTTACTCATTGCTTGAGACATGGGGAACCTTTAATAAATATTCTGTTTCCATTTTTATTAATTTTTTCTGACAGCTGTTTCACATGTTTGCCCCTGCCCCAGCCCAGAGAGGCTGAGCCTCAGGCCCAAGCTCACCAGCAGAGGAGGAGGAACAGACTGGCCAGGGAAAGGTCTCTGCCGTAGGATTGCAAGCCAGAAGCACCACCCTGGGTGACCCAAAGTGACAGGGGCCCCAGGCTCTGGTATCCATGGGCTAAGATGGACCTATCCTTGGGCAGTAACCCCATGTCCTTCAGTGTCCTCTGAGGCCCAGGCCCTGGCCCGTCTCCTCTGGCCCTCGGCACTGACCCAGTCCCACAAAGCATTCTCCAGCGGGGGCCAGGCCTGCCGCTGTGCCAAGGTAGATCAGCACATATGCACCACTCCTGGCCTCTGCCACCAAACCTGGCTGCCTCACCTCTGCTGTGACTCCCTGCCATCTCTCTAATCCCTGCTACCTCCAGGGTTGGCAGACAGCATAGCCAAGCCAGGGCCCTCGGCTCCCCAGGGCACAAGAGGCAGGCAGGAGATCTCTCTGTGAATCTCTTGGGGTCCTGGTGGAGCCTGCATCCCAGGACTTGCTGACCAGAAACAGAAACACAGGCAACATGTTGGGGACCCTCCCACAGTGCTGCTGTGGCTTCCTCTTTCAGGTCTTAGGGGCCAGGGGACATTGTTATGAGCCCTCCCCCAGCAAGAGAAGAGGTACAAGGTACTCCCAAGAAAGAGATAGATCGGGGTTTGTAAGCAATACCCAGAGCACTCTCTGCAGCCCTGATGCAAACAGAAGTAGCTCAGTCTCTAAATGATGCCACGGGTGTGTCCTCTGAGGCACATTTCGTGCATCTGTAATTGGAGAGAGGAACGGATGGGTGGAGATCCCACTTAGAATCTTGCATCAAGCCAAGTAAACTTTGCTGTCAGAACTGAGTCCCGGGGAGACCAAGCCCTGCAAGCTGGATATGAGGGGGTGGGGAGCATGTCAAGCCAGCACCTTCCTCATCCCTTTCTCTGAAGTTCCAGGCCCAGTGTCCCTCTCAGGTGAACCAAGGGATGGGGGTCAGCAGAGACATGACAAGAACTTGAAAAGTACAGGCTGGGGTAACTCCCCTGCCTGCCCACCCCCGGACTCACCCCCCAGACCTACCAAAACCCAGGGCAAGGCTAGGTACTCAGAGTTCTTAGCTGAGAGACCAGGGTGGCTAAGTGCCAAGAGACTCTGTCCCACCCCAAAGGGTCCCCACGCCCAGGCCAGGGTGCTCAGAGCTAGAGTCTTGGGTGAGGCAACTTTTAACCAGATTTTTTAAATCTTTTTTGGTAACAAAGCACCTAGGATCTAAATTCCCAAATAATTCAGAGGTGACTGTTTATGGGACTCTAAATATATCCATCAAAACAAGCAATGGAAGAGACCTCTGTGAAATCATAGTGTCAGATCACAGCTGTCACACAGTTCAGTTGGACTCAGTGGCCCAGGCTGAACAGAGAGGAAGGGAGCAGGATTTGGGGCCTGCCTGTTGGGAAGGGAGGAATGGCCATAGGGGACATTGCCCCATGTCTGGGGTCTTCTCCTCATTTTATGTGTTCAAAGAATTTTAATGTCGCCCTTCTTCCACAGGTGTGCAGGCTCTGGGAGGTTAATTCATTCATGCTATCCACCCTCTAAGAATCTAAAAGATAAAACAAAAATGTCAGCTCATTGTTTTAGGACCTCTGAGAGGTGTCAGAGTCGACTGGATAGAAACAGCCAAATTAACTGGCTGGCAAGTTCCTTTAGGGTAAGAGAAACTATTCAGTCCCAGCACAGAAGACAATGTGGTATCAGGGACCTTGAGTGATGCCAACCCAAGGGCACTGACTCTGCGTTCCAGAGCAGAACTGTTAGGAAAATTGGAATCCACATGTAGCTTCTCCTCCAAAAACATCTTCAGGTTCCCTTGGGTTCTTCTCACTGACTTGGTGGCAGAGTGGGTGCTGTCCCTTGATGGACAGTAGTTCTTGTTCCCTTTCTCTCACATGGCACCATCTTCCTCTGTTGCTTTCTCCAGTGTTCCATCGGGTGTGGGAGTGGGACACAGCAGAGGGAGGTGATTTGTGTGAGGAAGAACGCAGACACTTTTGAAGTGCTGGACCCCTACGAATGCTCCTTCCTGGAGAGACCCCCCAGCCAACAATCGTGCCACCTCCAGCCTTGTGGAGCTAAATGGTTTAGCACAGAATGGAGCATGGTAAGTCACGGTGCTCTCGGTAGAGATTGTTTTAATACAGTGTTCCCCTGCTGGCCCCCCAGAGTCACCTCTGGGCCAGGCTGGGCTCAGTTGAAAAGTGGATTCTAGACTCTCTGTGGCAATCTACTCTAAGTAGCTGCTACTGGAAGTAGCCCTGCTCAGTGGGGGTGAACCTGAAGCTTGGATGATCTTGACTTCTAAATTGTAGGGCAGTGACTATTTCAGTGTGCATAAGAATCATCTGGGGATCTTGTTTGAAAAGACCAACTTTGGGCCCATCCTGGACAAAGACTGTATTTTTAATAAGCAGGATGCAGTCAATCTTGGTCTGCATTCTGAGAAACACTGCTGCAGAGGAACAGTAGCTGATTGGATTAAAGAATGTTGCTAAAGGTACTATATTATAATTTAGAAGTAAGGTACTGGGCTGGGGTTCTGGCTCAGTGGTAGAGTGCTTGCCTTGACATGTGAGGTACTGGGTTTGATCCTCAGCACAACATAAAAATAAATAAACAAAGAAAAAAAGTAAGGTACTAATATTATAACTTATAAATTAATACATCTTTAAAGAGTGTTTTCTAGTTTCTCATTTCCTCCACCGAAAGAGCCTAGGAACAGTGACAAATACAGTGCAAAGGGCACTCCTGATATCCAAATTACAGTTTTGAAATACTCTTGCCAGAAGGGGGGACCAGGGATTCTTAAAGGAACGGCTGATTCCAGATCTGAGACAGCAGATATGAGCTTTTCATCAGCCATTCTCAAAAACAGCTGAATTCATATCCAAAAGACTTAGAAGGCAACTTTTACAGTCTTCGGCTAGACACTGATGGATGGTTTGAGCATTGGTAAGAATAATAAGTACAATTAACTCAATGAAACACATTATATATGTTTAAATCCATCAATTTGTAATAGTTTTATAGCAATTTTTAAAAAAAGTAAGAGCTAGAGGATGAGCACAGTGGTAGAGACAGCACTTGCCTAGCACACACAAGGCCCTGGTTTGATCCCCTGCACTACAGGAAAAAAGCAAAAGCAAAAAAAACCAACAAATAAATAGTTTTTAAAAAACGAAACAAACTAATAGATCACCATTACAGGATGTTATAGAATCACCTCATTATTCTGAAAAGTGATAAAGAGAAAGAATCAAGCATTTACTTTTTTTTTTCTTTTAATTATATCACTGGGTAAGCACAAAGTAAATCTGGGGAAGGGATTCTTAAGAAGAAATGAGAGAGGGGCTGAGATGTGGCTCAAGCGGTATCGCGCTTGCCTGGCATGCGCAGGGCGCTGGGTTCGATCCTCAGCACCACATAAAAATAAAAAAATAAAGATGTTGTGTCCACCGAAAACTAAAAAATAAATATTAAAAAAAAAAGAAGAAATAAGAGAACTACAGTATCATGTTTCAGCCCCAAATGATCTAAGGATCTGGGCATTACATGTCAGTGGCTGCTAACATCCCCAGGAGAGAGAGAGCCATACAACTCTCAATCAATCCTGCACCTGTTGAGGCCTCTTCTAGACCCAATTCAATGGATGGAAATACAGAGAACAGAGGAACATGTAAAATCCATTCAGCAAAATCCATTCTTTCAGAATTCCACAGAAAACTTACTCAGTTCTTGTACCCAAAAATGTTTGAAGTACCAGTGGGAAAAGCCACTGGAAAAGAAACTTGTGGATTAAGAGTCAAAAAAGACATCAACTAATTGCCATGTGCAGACCTGATATGAATCCTAGAATGTAAGGAAAAGCAAGTGCTTATAAAACCTGTGAGATTCATAAGGCAAGTAAAAATAGGAACACTGAATATATATTTGATGAGAAGGAACTTTTAGTTTTTAGGTGTAACAATGGTATTATAATTTTTAAGGGTCCTTGTCATTTAGAGCTATAAACCAAAATATTATGGAAGAAGTGATATGATGCCTATATTTGCTTCAAAACAGTATGAGGAGTAGAAGTGAGAGGGGCATAGATAGGACACGGCATGAGTTGCGCTCTGGGTGATAGGTGCATGGGAGTTTGCTTTAATATTCTGTCTCCATTTTGGAAATGTTTGAACTTTCCCAGTATCTTCCCTCTCCAGTGTGTGGACCTAATAGACTGACATTTCCTCTTTGTTGCCATGCAGTGCTCCAAGAGCTGCCAGGGTGGCTTCCGGGTCCGGGAAGTGAGGTGTCTGTCAGATGATATGACCCTAAGTAATCTCTGTGACCCTCAGTTGAAACCAGAAGAGAGAGAATCTTGTAACCCCCAGGACTGTGTCCCTGAAGTTGGTAAGTCCCCTAAGTTCCTGTCTTAGAGAAAATGTTCAGCCAGGTATGGTGGCACACACCTGTAATCCCAGCGGCTCGGGAGGCTGAGACAGGAGGATCGAAAGTTCAAAGCCAGCCTCAGCAATGGTGAGGTGCTAAACAACTCAGTGAGACCCTGTCTTTAAATAAAATACAAAATAGGGCTGGGGATGTGCTCAGTGGCTGAGTGTTCCTGAGTTCAATCCCTAGTACCACCACACTCCCCGCAAAAAAAAAAAAAAAAAAAGAGAGAGAGAGAAAATATTCATCTTTCTTAAATTCTGAAAATGCCAAACTGATGTAGGTGTGTCTATGACCTCATACAGTCATGGAATTCAGGGGTCAAAATACTCTTGACATTATAAGTTAAAGGGTTTAAGATAACTATTCACAGCATGAATGGCTATCCCAGCCAAAAGAAAAACATTAGTGTGAATTCATTAACTTTATAGTGCATCCAAAGATTTAGTTCTTTCTTCTTAATGTCAAAGTAGTAAAATTTCCAACTTTTAATTGTATATGCAAATCAGTATTGCTTGTCCATAAAGAGGAATGCTGAGACCTCACAGCAGCTTGGTTGAGAATGGAGGAAGGGGAGATTCAAGAACAGATAGAGACAGTGATGGAGAGTCCAACCCGATGTCTGCATGGCACAGTCCAGAATCTCAAATCAAGAATGAAGAGATCCCAGTGGGAGAGTTAGCCACCACATGGCTGGAGTCCTGCAGGGAACGACAGCCCTGCAATTCAGGAGGCCCCACCCAACCTATAACCTAGAAATTGGGTCAGGTTCCCTGGGGTGTGTTCATGAGGAATGGTCCCAATCCTTGTAGAACTGAATTACAGTGAGAAAACTAAGGAAGGTAACTTACATATCTACTGGGCAAAAGAAGGTGTGAGGTGGGTGAAGATGCAGCTCCAGAGGCATACTGGATGCCCCCAACCCCCACCCCCACAGTCTACTCAGAATATGTTGCCAGGCTTGCCAGGACTGGCTCCAGAATAGAAATGTGCTGAGCTTTTATTATTCAGATGATGATGATGATGATGATGATTCAGCTTTTCACTGCTGTGATCAAAATGCCTGATAAGAACAATTTAGAGGAGGAAAAGTTTACTTGGGACTCTCGGTTTCAGAGTTTTTTCCATGGTCAGCTGACAGAACATCATGGCCAAAGAGCATGGAGGCAGAAAGCTTCTCAGCTCATGGCAGCCAGGAAACAGAGCAAGGAGCCAGGGACAAATATATCATCCCAAGGGCACCCCCCCCCCCAATGACCTACTTCCTCCAGCCATGCCCCACCTGCCTACAATTACCACCCAATAATTCATTCAGTTTATCAATCAATCAAATAGATTAATTCACTGATTGGCACAGCTCTCATAATCTGATTATCTCACCTCTGAACGTTCCTACTTTGCCTGTCATGTGAACTTATTGGGGGATACCTCATATCTACATCATAACGCCCTATTAAGGTCTGGATCTGGAATGTCCCCCAAAGGCTCATGTGTTAAACACTTGGACCCCAGTGCATCACTGTTCAGAGGTGGAGTTTTGGAGAAGTGAATGGATCCTGAAGATTCTGACCTCATTTGTAGATTAATCCATTGTTGAATTCATAATCTGAATGGACTAATGGGAGGTGGTGGAAACTGTAGGAGGTGAAGTCTAGATGGAGGGAGAGGGTCTTTGGAGGTGTGGGGATGACATCTTGTCCCTGACCCCTTCCTTCCTCTCTGTTTCCTAGCTGCCATGAGTTGAGCAGCTTTCCTCCACCACGCCCTTCCACTCTGATGTTCTTCCTCCCCTCAGACCCAAAGCAATGGAGTCAACCAACCATGGACTGATACCTCTGAAACTGTGAACCAAAATACACATTTCCTCCTTTAAGTAGTTCATGTCAGGTATTTTGGTCACATGGAAGAAAAACTGACTAACTCTAACCCCCTTTGTTAGAATTCTTCAGGGTCCCTAGGTACCTATTTACTCTCCTCATCATCATAGTAACATTAAAGGGAACATGGTAATGTATCAGTAGGCTGTCATGCCTAAGGCCCTGGGTTCAATTCCCAGGACCAGATGGAGAAAGAGAGAGATTTACTTATATCCCATTTGGGAGTCTCAAAGCTGAGCTCCTGCATTGGCTCAGTTTGAGTGATGGTCTTCTTGGTAACAAAGTCCCAAGACAGCACATGACATCACGACGTGGCAAGAGACAGGGAGCACACCATCTCTGGTCTCTGTGCCTCTTCTTATAAAGCCACCAGGATTCATTCATGGGACTCCATCCTAATTACCTTTTCCAAGTCTAATCACTTTCCCAAGACCCAATCTCTAAACACCATAGCCAGATCAAGTTTCCACCCTCTCGATACCATTATGATCCTGGGGGTTAAACATCTGCAACAGGGTGGGGACAAGCCATATTCAAACCATGGCATTTCTCCATTTATTTATACATGTTATAAAGCTACAAAAACTAAAACTATATAGTACTGTTACTGGCAGAGACAGCCAACTGTTACACCACAGAATTCTGAAACAGACTTTTTTATCCAAGGGAAATTAACTAGGATAATGGTTGAAAGTTAATTGAGGAAAGGAGAAACTTCCATTGTATTGAGACAATTTTTTTTTATTAAACAAGACACCTTAAATCTTACATCATGCCATATACAAATAAATACAAGTGCCCAATAGATTAAAGAGCCTAACAGAAAACACTATAAAAATGCTAGGAAAAAAAAAATGGGCTGGGGTTATGTCTCAGAGGTAGAACACTTGCCTCGCATGCATGGGGCACTGGGTTCAATCCTCAGCACCACATAAATAAATAAAATAAAGGTATTTTGTCTATATACAACTATAAATTTTTTAAAAAATTAAATGCTAGGAAAAAAACTATATATAGCTTGGAATTGGTTAAAGCCTTCATAAGCTAAACCCAAAATCCTAGATGTTATTGCTAGTTATGAGAACACAATAAGTTAAAAGCTGTTTTCCTGTTTAGGATGTCATAGCCCAAGTTGGAAGGAAGGAAGGAAGGAAGGAAGGAAGGAAGGAAGGAAGGAAGGAAGGGGAAAACAAAGAGGGAGAGGAAGAGAATAGGAAAGATCATGAGAAAATATCCAAAACACATTTTAGGAGAATGTGTTACCATCAGTATAAAACACAATGTCCAGCCAGGAAGCTGAGGAACAAGTTTGATATAATTACTGTGGCTAATTTGTGCACACACACAAACATGTTCACTTGCATTGGCAATACTACGAGTTGAAAACTTAATTTAAATTTGGATCACAAATTGTCCCTCACGTTGTTTTATTAAGGTCATATTATAATGCAATATTGAAAAGAATACTTGTATATGTTAAGTTGCCTGCTTGTCTCAGGCACATGGATATGGATAATTAAAAACAGTTTGAATTGCCAGATCCTTGGAATTGCTTATGCAGGTTTCAAAATCAGGAATGATTGGCATAAGAAAGTCATCTGTTCTGAAGGCCCGTCACTCAGCTGACACACATTTGGCAAAGGTTTCCAACTAATAAGATGTGATATGAATTTTTGTTTTACCCCTCCAATTTGTTCATTTATTTTTGCCTATGGTGTCTTTTCAATGGGGAAAAAGTATTTAGTTGTTTACCAATTATGTAAAATCCAATTAAGGGAAAAGGGAACTACAAGATTAACAAAATAGGGCTGGGGCTGTGGCTCAGCGGTATCGGACTTGCCTGGTATGTGTGAGGCACTGGGTTCGATTCCCAGCACCATATATAAATAAATAAAATAAAGGTCTATCAACAACAACAAAAAGTCCTATTTAAAAAACAAAAAAGATTAACAGCAGGAACAGGATGAAAAGCCACATCCACAGCCCTTCCTCTTTCCACTGGACCAGGCTGCCTCTTGAGCTCAGGAGTCTTGTGTTCTCTCTCCCGCTACAGATGAGAACTGCAAGGACAAGTACTACAACTGCAACGTGGTGGTCCAGGCGCGCCTCTGTGTCTACAACTACTACAAGACCGCCTGCTGTGCCTCTTGCACTCGTGTGGCCAATAGGCATGCGGGGTTCCTGGGGAGTAGATAACATCCCGCATCGCATCTCGTCAGCAGGGCAGCATCCCTGCCCTCCCCGGGGGCTGTAAGCAATGTGCCTGGCTGGCTCCCTGGCCCAGGACACTGACAGTCAACTTCATCACCACCCTTGCCTTTGGTCAAGTGTAACCAGGAGCTTTGTGCCCTGGATGTTAGAAAGCCACAGTGGGTCCTTTAATCATCGTCATACACTGATGACACCTCCCTTGAGACCTGGCATCTGCTAACGGTGCTCTCTGAAAACCAAGCCATGGGAAACTCCATAGCTCTCAGCCCAACTCCTGCCCTGGTGCTTTGCACATAAGCAGACAGGCCACTAACCAAGCACTGCCTCATCCCTGGTGTGACTGGCCTTCCAAAATTAGTATCCTTGGACAGTCAGAGGCAGCGCTCCGTCCCAAAGACCCGCCAAGCCTTGCTGAGACCTGTGCACCCTCTGTCACCTCAGCCTGGCTGTGCCTGTTTTCATTCTCAAAGACATTAGACTGTTCTGCTGCCTTATGACACAGATATCTCACATTAATGTAGTGCTTCATTGTTTAGCAGGCGTATTCACAGATATTAGTTCATTAGTCGTCACAACGTCCCAGAATGGGAAGCAGGGGATAAATAATCGTCCCACTTTATTGACAAGGAAATATCTGAGGCTCAGCTCAGGTCATTGACCTGCCATTCCGTGGCAGAACTGAGTGCCTGTTCCAATCGCCTGCACATGACCCTTACCCAACCGCACCTCTACCACTATAGAGGTCTTAGGTGTGAAGGATGCAGCTTCATTTCTAACCAAAAGCCTGAAATTTCCACCAGCAACAAATTGAATTCTTTCCTCCACCTGGAGGTCAAGTCCTCATCCCCAGGATTCAGATTTCTGTTTCCATTTTCCCCACAAAGTCACAGGCCCTAGTGACAGGACTCTGCAGGTTTGGCTGAACTCCACCCTCAGCAGAACTGTCCCATGAGACAAGAAAGCTAGAGGGAGAACCAGGTGATTGCCTGGGATTCTGGCTCCATTTCAAGTTGACAAGTCCCTCTGCCCATGGGCCTTCCATGTGGCAAAGCAGATTCCCAAGGCCCACAGCTCTGGGCTCTGGGCTCTGGGCTCCTGCCTTCCTCAGCCATCTCTCCCGTGCTCTTCACCACCTAGTAGAAAGTCGAGCGGGTAGGTCCCCCAAAAAACATCTAAATCACATGACTCCCAATCCTTACCTCCTCCCAGACTTGACCAGGAAGACCCTTACCTGTGCAGCCAGCCTGGGAAAAGGAGCTGTAAAGCCCCTCCCATATTTCCTGACTCACTTTATCCAACTATGTAGTCCCAGAGGCGTCACGCCTGCAGCAAGGTGTAGCACATATTGAAAGATGAACCAACTGAAAAACCACTTAAGAGCAACATTTTCTTTTCTTTTATCCATTAAGAAAGGTATCAAGCTAAATAACTGTAAACTTATAGAAAATGTCTCTTATTTTTGGCCCTGGGCATGTTACTCTTGTAAAGCAAGCCTGTATTTTTAGCAACTGAGTTTCTCCCATGAGCTCTTTTACCCGGAACTCTGCCAACTTGATGATTATTTGCAGCTTTGGGAGGTGATATCACCAGCCTGGCCCAGCACATGCCACTAGGATTCCCACAAGCCTTGGGCCTTCTGAGGGTCCCTCCCAGCTCCTCTTCCTGGAGAGCACAGGCACCACTTCCCACAGCATCTCCATCTCCCCTGATGCTCATGTGACTCCTGCAGGTCCACAGCCCAGCAGAAGCCCAGCCTGCCCTGCTGACCAAACAAAAAGAGATGTGAGAAGCCACATATATGGACAGTTTCTGTCCAGTGCCTTCTGTTTCCCTCTTGCCACTTGCTTTTTCTTCTTGTCACAGGGAAGTTTTTTCTATAATGCAGCTGCTTCCAGATATCGCTAAACAAGCTGGTCATTTGAAAGATTGTCTGGAAGAGGTTTTCTTTACATGCTGGAGTCAGGACAGAATGGAAGAGAGGAAGGCTGACTTTTAGCTCCAGTGAGGGAAAATGTTCCAGCCATCAAAGCTGCCCAACAGAGGCATGGGACACCACACCCCATGGTCTCTCTGTTCCCAAAGGGACTTCTCTATCAAGTAGAAGGAAGGGGCACATGCTGGTCCTTCCAACTCAGGAATCTCATGACCAGGTGAGGTCAACATGGCTTTGTCCCTTTGACATGAAATAGCGTCCTGTGATCCTGAATGTTACCTAACGGTTCCTTCAAAGGACTATGATCCTCTCACAATAATGGCCAGGTAGGAACAAAGGGACATGTCTTCCAGGAAAAAGGGCACCTCAGCAAGGGGTCTTTTTATTCTTACAACAAACAACTGAGATGTTCTTGGAGTTTGTTAGTCTTTGGAAGGTTGTAGATTATAACAGAGGGTTTGTTGACATTTTTGTCTTAGAAAGCCAATTATTCGGGTGTCCAAATGCCCTTCTCCATCGCACAACCCATGCAGTCAGACTGTTGGGTGTTTTCAGACCACTTTCCTGGGAGGAAGTCTGAGAAAAGCCCACCTTGGGATGACCCTCTCCCTCCAGCGGGCTCTGTCTGCTTCCTCTGTCCCCATTTTTTTCACCCTCTCCTTTTATTATCTGCCATCTCCTTCTCAGGTCTCTCCATTTTTCCTACCTTGCCATAATGTGGTATTGAAATTTTTATCTTAACAGGTTTTTTTTCTGTGCATTGGATTGCCCCATTTCATGATCTGAGTTTTTTAATTAGATAAACTAAAGCTATGATATGTTTTTCTCGCAAAAAAAGCAAAACTTCCAACAAAAGTAGTTTGCTTTGTTTCTTTCACTATCAGAAAAGGAAATGGTGCCTCTTGCTGCCCTAGGTAGAAGCCAACCCGACCTATCCATCCTCCACATTCTCACCACCACCTGGAGTTCTTGCCACAGAAAAGGGACCTCATAATAACACTAACAAGACACCTTGTCAGCCCGGCCACTAGAGGGCATCAGTTCCCTTCATTAAGCCATAGCTGTCAGCTGGTGAGAAACCGCAGTGAGGGAGACTCCTTTCAGCTCTTGGGAGTCACAAGAGCCACTGTATGGCAGGCATGCTCAGAACTGCCCTATCTGTCCTTTTGTCTCACTTCTCTGGCCCAGAGTTCATTGGATATTGTTTTTTCTTTGTCCTTCCACTTATTCTCAAAATGTTTAGGTTCAGCACTTTTTGTTTTAGAAAGTGTGGCTTTATAAAGGAGTAAAAGGGACACCAGCCTGGCTTATTTTCATGGAGCTGTAAGGCAGAGAGAGAAATCTAGATATTGCCTTTCCAGGCCACTATTACTGAGCATGGTGGCTCATGCCTATAATCCCGTGACTCAGGAGGCTGAAGCAGGAGAATCTCAAACTCAAGCCAGCCTTCCTAAGCAACTGTCTTTTTTTTTTCATTAATACACCTATTTTAGAGTTGAAATATCAATTTCTAATATGGAAGAAAATATAAATGTAAGACAAGCTGAATGATTGTATCAGCCTGGAAGGCAGAGACCAGCATTTGATCCCTTGCCATACAAGACATGTTTTAATATGACTTAGGAAAATAGATGCCCTACCAATAGAAATTGGGGATAACATGAAATTGTGGAGCTAATGGCTTGGGTAACAGGTTCTGAATCAAATAAGATCAGGGAAGCTAGAATAAATCCCAAAGCTTCACAAGTCAGTAGGAAGCAACATAAAGGTTTACATTTGGATTTTTTTTTTAACTACACAAGTAACAGGTGCAAGAGATGTAAGAGTTTCAGGTAACTCAGCTCAGTGTATTGAGAAAGCAGGAGGAAGCCACCAAAAAAATAAACAAAACTTAAAATACATTTAGACTATGCAAGGAGAAAACATGGACAAGGGTCAAACCCCGTTTTGTCTGTGATCATTGGAGCCATGCTTTAGGAAGACTGTTGATCACGTGTAACATTCAGATGAGAATGTCCAGTCCAAGTGAAGAGTGCAGATGATCAGAAACAGCAGAAAGGACCTCCTGAGAATGTGCAGCCTGGAGCAGAGACTCAGGCACCAGGAAAGTCATCTTAGGACAAGGAGGTACAAGTTGCAGGAAGCCAGATTTTAACTCTTGCAGGAAAACCAACTGTCCACAAGTTGGATCCTGCTGAAGGCAGAGGGATTCTAGGAAAGGTGGTGACTGACCCGTCATGGAGGTATCAGCAGAGGCCAAATGGCCATGTGTTGGGCTGCAGGAGAGGGATTCAGACATCTGGCTGGGCACCATGATGTTCAAGGTCATTTTCAGGTCTGAGCTTTGGTGATTCTGTAAGAAGCACAGTTTTCTCTAATCCATCTGTTCTGGGATGGCAAGTGCACTGCCTACATACTTCCCCTTCCTGACTTTTGCCACCCTGTCAGCCATTTCAAGCTCGCCAGTACACCGCTCCCCTGAGCTGGTTGTGGCCTTGTATCTCAGAGCATCGTTAACAACATGGTCAGCGTTGCCTCATCTGGTCCTGTGCCACAGAGGAGTGTGCCGGCATGCTGTGACCCTAGCTGCCTCTCTGGGATCACACATGTTGATGGAGGCTGAGCCTCCTCCTGGCTGGGCTCCTTTACCTAACAGAATTCTCTTACCTCCTCTGATTTCTTGCACCTTTGCTGGTGCAAAGTAATTCTGTCCACCCTGAACCATCTGTCCCCCATTCCTGGTCCTATCCAACTCCCATCATGCCATGGAAAAATGACCACGAGATGGTGGAAACTTCCAGCCAACCTTCTCAGCATCTTCCGGACAATGAGTCCCTCACCTCAGTGAGAGGAAACCCATTCTGTTACACAAACTAACTCCCACATGCCTTGACCCCCAGCTCCCCGCCATCCAGTTTGACAGAAGGATATAATTTGTTATAACTTATTATTTTGTTCTTTGTAAATACAAAATGTTTATAGGAAATATGTATTCTGAACTCTATGTGCAGAATGAGTCACTACATCAAAATAGTTCTATTATTTAGAGTATGTTAATTTTAAAGGGACCTAATAGGTATTTATTTACATATGCCATCCACATTTTGTGTAAGATCATTTGATCATACTAACCCAGTTCCCTGGAATGTTGCACACAATAATGCCTAAGAGATTCTAAGTCCATTTTTTACAATTGTTTAGTATACTGATTAGCCAAACTCCTTGGGGTTTAAGGTCAAGTATAAACTGCTCCACTTTTTGACTCGTTCAAGGGACTTTTACCCCTGGTATTGTACCTGAACCGGATTTTCTGTCTTAAATATTATATTTCCTCATATAATCTGCTCTCTCCTCATCCCCCAACATTTGGAGAAGGACATGTGTCTTGTCCTTCTCGTTCTTTCTTTGTTGCCTTCTCTGTTAGGCTCACCAGCATCTGTTGCTCAGGAGGACTGGTCAGAGCTGGGAAGGAGAAGGGTCGCCTGGCAGGATGTGGTAGCCTCCTCATTTCTGATGACACCTCCACAGTCCCTGCTGGGGCCAGTTCCTCGGGGATGTCCTGTGAACCACATGACTCAGAGCAAGAAGCTCGCTAAATGCTCCCATCAATTCCATGTTCCTTTATAGTGTTAAATTATTATGTAAGAAGGTGGTGAGTAGAAGGTGAATTATATGAGTAAATGCAGTCTGTTTTTCTCTTCAGCAAAAATGACAACTATTTTTGTGTATGACTAATTTATTTTTATTGTAAAAATACAATAAACTGGTTAAAAGATCTGCTTTGGTAACATGTGTTTTCTCCGACCTTATTCATGCTCTATCCACATTATTTCCAATACCACCCGCCTCCAAAAAGAAGAATGGAGCCTTTCAGAGGGAGTTGACTTGTCAGATGTTGACCTGGGTGCTCTCTGGGCAACTGGGCCAATGGGGAACAAGACACACCCTTGATAAAAAGAACTCAAGCCTGTTAGTTGACCCAAGTTCGGCACCTTGGCTGTGTGTCAGAATCACCTGAGATGTTTAAACACTGGGCACGTGTACCACCTCCCAGGACTGCAATTTCACATGTATTTCCTTAAACCTCCCCCAGGTAATTCTACTGTGCAGGAAAGACTGAACACCACCCTCCTGGTTCAGTCGGTTCCATCTCTCAGTTGAATTAAGGTCCTTCAAAATCCCCTTGAGCTAACCTCACCTTGGTCTCAATTTTAGCAGGATGTTTGGCAAATCTTTCAAGTTATCTTGGTGCATAATAAAGTAAAATATGGACTTGGATCTTAACATCAGTTGAAAGTTGTCCTTGGCTAGCGCGTCTCTGGTGGAATGCCTACAAGCTCTGTTCCTGACTCTTGTCTTGTGCAACAGTTCACCAATAAGTCTCAGAAACATTATTTTACCTAAGATGCTACCTTCTCCTGCTCCCATGCACCTTTTCTACCTGGAAAACTTCCATCTGTTCTCTATATTTTATCCTGGTAAAATTCACTTACCATAAAATTCTTCATTAAAACCATTTTCAAGTGTTCAACAAAGTGTTATTTAGTGCATTCACCATGTTATGCAACCATCCCCCAAACTCCATTTATTCTTCAGCGCCCAAATCAGAAGTTCACTATGTGCCAGAGAGCATGATGAATACACTAGCTTCTCTTCACAGCCATAGGTCAAAGTTAGAGACCCAGGTTTCCCTCTGCCCAGCCAATACTTGGTGGTGCTGGAATCCTACAGCGCCCCCTAGAGGCTGGAGCTTGTATCATCCCCATCTCTGTCCCCCCAGGACATGACAAATGATATGGTCTCAAGATAATATTCTGCAAGTGTTCCAGCCAATGAATATAGATTCCACGAGAACTGGATGAAAAAGAGAAGCACTGTTTGCCCAAGTTCAGTTTGACCACTGTGACCTCAGGCTGCCATGGAAGTTTCAGAGCCACCAGGAGTAAATAAGTCCACTCTGTGATAAGGGCCAGGCCCAAGTGTAGATCACCAGTCTCCAGTTATAGGGGATACTGACAGGCAGGTTATTGACCACCAGGAAAGAACCCAGAGGATGACAACCAGGACAGGAATGGTCCTGATGGGGGAACTGAGTGTCTTCAACCTTCAGACACTTCAAGACTATCAGGGACAGATGACCAGAACCTGGATACCCCCAACAGATCAGAGCAGGTAAGTGACAGGGAGTCAGATTGGTTCAAAATGAGATGTTCTCAGCAATCAGAGAGGCTTAACAGTGGGAAAGGATAAGAGACAGTATTATTATTTGGATGTGAGGTGTCTCACAAAGGCTCACGTGTGAAACAATGCAAGAACGTTCAGGGGAGAGATGATTGGGTTGTGAGAGCCTTAACCCAATCAGTGATTGGATCCCCTGATGGGGATTAACTGAGTGGTAACTGAAGTAGTAGGGTAAGGCTGAAGGAGGTGGGAATTGGGGCTGTGGCTTTGAGGTATATATTTGTATCTAGAGGTGGACTCTCTCTCTCTCTCTCTCTCTCTCTCTCCCCTTTCTGATCATCATGTGAGTTGCTTCCTTCCCTCTGCCACACTCTTCCACCATGACATTCTGCCTCCCCTCCAGCCCCAGGGAATGGAGGTGATCTTCTATGGACTAAGACCTCTGAACCTGTGAGCCCTTGAATAAACAATTTCCCTAAAATTGTTCTGGTCAGATCTTTTAGTCACAGCAGCAAGAAAAAAAAAAGCTGATTAAAACAGACAGTGAGACCCTCAAAAAAGGAGTTATCAGAAACATTGGGGAAGAGGGAAGTTTTGAATGTAGATTGTATATAATATAATATGATCAAATCTGGGTAAAACTTCTTGAATGTGATGTGGGGTGTGGAAGCAGAAGCATGTGATACATATAGCAGTGGATCTCATGGTGTCTTCCATTTGCTTTTATGTGTGAGTGTGTGTGTTTGAGAGAGAGAGAAAGAGAGAGAATGTACAAATAAGGTAAAATGAATTTAGGTGACTAAATGCCTATTAATGAAGGTATATGTCCTTTATACTATACATGTCTGAAGTGTCAATTTTTCCAAAACAAAAAGTTATGGGGGAAAATAAAGTACCAAAAAAAGCAAAGGAGAACTCCCACCTTTTGCAAATCTTCCCTAAGTTGTCTAATAAGAATCACCTGGTTTGCCCATTCAATCAGCCGCCAGGTGCCTGTGCCTACACTAGAACAGGCCTGGAAATTTGCATGGGATTCCAGATACCAGATGATCTGGTAATCATCATCGAGGCCAGGAAACTCTAATTAGCTGGGCACCTGCTATGTGCCAGATATCATCTAGGCCCTTTCCATCATTTAATTTCATCTTCTCAACAACTCTCATGAAGTGAGCACTCTTCTGTGGCCATTTTATGGAAAAATAAATGAAGGCTCAAAGAGAATAAGTAACATGATTGAAGACACAGCTATTAAATGGCAGGATCTGGCTTAGTTTTTTTTTTTTTAAGCCTCATTATGTAACGAAATAAAATGGACCTTCAAAAAGAATCATGATCTTGAGGGGCCCCTCCCTGCAATCCCAGGGTTCAGTTGTTTGGGGTAGGGACCAAATATTAGCAGGGGCTGAGAGCCCCTGGGAAGAGGGTGTCTAAGTTGGGGACCTTGTTGAATTTAGGTGTTGACTCAGGGATCTGTGCTGGGCCCTGACCCTAAACAAGCTCCCTAGTGTTGCTGATGCTGCTGGTCCAGGATCACACTTTGGACAGAGACACTGAGTGTTGTGGGAATGTTGCAGGCTTTCTTGGATCCACTGGGAAGATAAGCAAATGACTTCTGAGGTTCTGTATACAACTTTCTTCTGCAAAGTGAAGATTCTTTTTTTTTCTTATTGATTTTTCAATTAAAACTTTTATTGACATATATGCCTAATTGACTTTTTATTGATTCTTTTAAATTATATCTAACATTAGGACACATTTTCACTAATCACAAAAGCATGGAATATAACTTGCTCTAGTTCAGCCTCCAGCACCTCCCCCTCCTCCCTTCCTCTGCTCCCCTCCAGCTACTGATATTTCTGCAATTTATTTATAGTTTTTATAGTGTCTCATGGATATACTTGATGTTGGGATACTGTGGTATATTCATGTATGCATGTCAGATTGATTCCACTGTCTTCCCTTTCCCAGTTTCTCCTTCCTCCCGCTCCATCCCCTTTGTCTAACTACTGATCTTTCCTTGATTTTAATGAGATTACCTCTCCCTTTTTTTTCTTTCTCTCTCTTTCTTTCTCCCCTCTACCCCACCCCATATTTTGGATCAGCTTCCACATATTAGAGAAAAATTCGACCTCTGGCTCATTTCACTTAGCATGATAGTCTTCAGTTCCATTCATTTATCATCAAATGCCATAATTTCATTCTTCTTTAAGGCTGAGTAATATTCCATTGTGTATATATACCACATCTGACTTCAGGAAAGAACACAGGAAGAGCAGTTACGGTTGTACTTGTCTCCATTTACCAAGAAAGCAAACAGCCCCAGAACCCCCTCCTATATCCAGCAAACTTCCTCTTATTGGCCAAATCAGCTTTGCCCTGATTAGCTTGAACAAATCAGGATCCATCATTGATTTCTGGACACACGACTTTGCTGGACACAATGGTGTTCTGTTAGCCCAGAAGGAAGATGGGAATGATGTCTGACCCCTGCACCCTTTGAGTAAGGAGCCAAAGAACTTCAAACACTGCAGTGTCTGTTCATCATCTTCCACCCACTGGGGAGCCTCTCCAATGAAGGTTAAGGCTGCCATCTTCCCTTCATTCAACAAATAATTATTGAGCACCCACTATGTGTCCAGCAATTTTGGGGGCATTAGAAATGCATAACTCCAACGGATCCTACAAATGCTGTGTAACCTAAAACACTTGCAAATAGAGACACCCTGGATGAGTGGCCAGTGAAGGGGCAGATGCAGCCAGGTGTCTGCAAAGAACCTACTATAAAGTGACACTACAGGGCTGGCTGTGTTCTGTAGCTGGAATGAGTGACATGACACAGACTTGACTTTTGATCAGATGGTTAAGGAGCTTACACTTGTAGCGCCTCTGGGCAATATCATCCACATGTCCTTTAACACTCAGAGATCCCTGGGCAACAGGGTACCTTCTGCTCCATTTTTCAGCTGGGAAAACCAGGTATCAGCCAGGTAAGGAACTTCCTTGTCATCATATAGATCATGCATGATGGCAGAATTCGAACCCACATCTGTCTGTTTCAGAGCTTGTCTTGTTCCTCTGAATGGGACTGCCTGACCTAAAGCACCACACATCCGTATGTGAGGCAAAACTCCCTTTAAAACTGAACTTCGGCCAGAACTGGCTTCCTGAACATGTGGCGTTGATCACGGCAGACCTTGTTGTTGATTATTGTGGCTTCACAGAGATTTCTCCCACTCTGAGACTCAGGACAATGGGCCCCACACTCCTGTAACACTTACACATACACTCATTTCTTCCAGGGAAGATGCTCCAAGGAGCCACCTTTACTTCTCTGTCCTGCTTAACATGTACATTCTTTTTTCAAAGCCCATGGTCAATTCTGTTTGGAGGCTAACCAAAGGAGGAAGGGGGACAAGTGTACTGGGACCCAAAGAATTAAATTTGTATGAACTTGATGCCGGTGCCAGCCTCAAGCTTCTCACCCTGACCGTAGAATTCCTGGCTGCTGCTTCCACATGAGCCCCAAGTGCTGTCAGTCTGGCTTTCACTATTGTTTTGCTTGGTGGCTCCTGGAAGCTCAGAACCATGCCCCTCAC